CTGAGAGAGTTGAGACCCCTACCGTTGAGGCATCTGTTAGTACTTTCATCGGGTATAGGCGTCAACAACGCTCGGCCCAGCGTTCTCAGGGTATCCCACATCAGCGTAGATATGAGAATTCTCATCAGTGTGATTATTGTCGCCGACTAGGACATCTCAGGGCTACTTGTTGGAAGCTCCATCCGGAGCTTAAGTCTCCTTCTCGCAACCGCATTGTTGCCATTGGTAAGGCACCACCACCTACAGTTATTGTTCCTGCTACTATTGCTACTACTCCTCCTTGGCAGAGTGATATGAATGCTATCACTTCTCGCTTGGATATACTTATATCGGCCTTGACTTCTCGAAGTCCGACTACTACTGCTGCGACTACTACAGGTATACCTCGTGTCTTTCATACTTGCGTTAGTTTGTCTCCCCTTTGGATGTTGGACTCGGATGCTAATGGTCATATGATTAGTGAGGCCCATCATTTCACCTCTTTTGACGAGCAGTTGCATACTCAAGTTCAATTAGCAGCTGGTACACATGCCCCTATTTTTAGTAGGGGTACATTCCGTCTCCCAGATGGCTTTACATTACGTTCGGTGTTTCATGCGCCAAAGTTGGTTATGAATCTATTATCTGTACATCAGTTAGCCAGAAATTTTCACTGTGCGGTTGTGTTCTTATCTGATTCGTGTTATTTACAAGACCTGAGTACCAGGAGGATTATTATCAGGGAACATGAGAGAGGTGGACTGTATTATTTAGGTGATCCACCTCCAGTTTCACCAGTTTCTCTACCTCCACCTCCATCACCTACTTTGTCTTTATCTGTTCCTAGCTTGCATGCTAGTATTTTACCTATTACTTGTCGTTATGATTTTTCATCACAAATTGCTCAGTTGTGGCATGATCGTTTTGGACATACAAATTTTAAATATTTATGTATGTTATTTTCTGCTCCGAGCAAAGCTTGTGTTAGTCGTAAACTTAACTGTGTGATATGTTCCCTATCAAAACATATTCGGACCAGTTATATTACTCGCATGCACCAGTCACCCAAATCATTTGACCTAATATACGCTGATATTTGAGGACCCTCTCCTGTTACTGCTCTATCAGGTGTCCGATACTATGTAACATTTATAGATGACCATACTCGTTGTACTTGGGTCTACCTTTTGCATAGGAAGTCTGATGTATTCCCTACAATCATTTAGTTTCTACAGATGATTAAGACACAATTCGATGTCATTGTTCGTGCTTTTCGTTCGGATAATGTCAAGAGAATATGTGTCTGATGCCTTAGTATCTCACCTTTCTTCTCAAGGTATTCTTCAGCAACTCACTTGTCCATATACTCCTGAGCAAAATGGCGTTGCTGAAAGGAAAAATAGGAGTCTGATAAGGATGGTACATTGTATGCTTAGAGGTATGGGGGTGCCAAAATCTTATTGACATTTTACTATTTTGACATCTACTTTTCTGTGCAATCGTTCGCCGAGTCATGTTCTTCAGCATAGAGCTCCCTTACAAGTCTTATTTCCTGAGCAACCACTTTTTTCGGTCCCCCCTCGTGTTTTTGGATGCACATGTTTTGTTCAAGATCAATCTTCTACTCGTTATAAGCTTGATGATAAAGTAATTTGTTGTGTCTTTGTGGGCTATTGTCATCACTCTAAGAGATATCGGTGTTATAATCCTGTTAGGCGTCGTATGTGTCACAGTCTAGATGTTACATTTCTTGAGTATATTATTTATTTTTCTTCAAGTCATGTTTCTGCCCCTCCAGTTGATGATATTCCCTTTGATTTTTCATTACCCCCGGTGCCAGAACCAGAGCCACTATCATTACAGAGTCACCGGTCTATCCTCCTCTAGAGTCACTTATCCCTGTCAGTACAGAGTCACTAGTCTCTCTTCCTTTGCAAGTTTATGTTTGTCGCCCTCGCTCTCATCCCCCTGCTGATGTCCCTTCTACCTCAGGCTATGTAGGTTACACTTCTCAGTTCGTTGAGCATATTGATGCACCTGTTGTTAGTACTTATGAGATTGCAGGTACTAAGCTAGTTATTTTACCTGATGAGACATTGTCAGTGGAGAATGATGATTTAGGGCGTCGTTATCCACGGCGTGATCGTCGTCTAGTTGTTCTTTATGGTTGGACCGCCAAGATTTTATACCCGATCTTTGTTTATGTTTCTTATGGTGATCTGTCTCCTAAATTTTGGGTTTATAGTATGGCCTTATCAGATATGCCGGTTCCTCGCTCTATTTCAGAGGTTATGCAAGAGTCTCAGTGGATTCTTGCCATACAGACAGAGATGGACGCTCTTCAGCGTAATCATACATGGGATCTTGTCTCTTTACCTTCAGGGGTCAAGCCTGTTGGCTGTCCTTGGGTTTACACACTGAAGTTTCTTGCGGATAGTACTATTGATCGTCACAAGGCTAGGCTTGTGGCGAAGGGCTTTACTCAGGTACCATATCGTGATTTTGGTGCTATATTTGCCCCCGTGACAAAATTGACTATTGTTCGACTGATTATTTCTCTGGCTGCGGAGTACTTTTGGCCTCTTCATTAGTTGAATATGAAGAATGCATTTATTCACGGTGATCTGGACGAGATTATTTATATGGATGCACCATCGGACTTTCGTGGTGAGGGGGAGTATGCTGGAAAGGTATGTCGACTGCGTAAGTCTCTTTATGGACTGAAACAGTCACCACGAGCCTAGTTCTCTCGCTTTACTGATGTAGTTGTACGTTTAGGGTTCACCAGATGTCATTCTGATCATACCTGCTTTATTCGACGAAATATTTCTAAATAGTATGTCATCCTTTTGGTATATGTTGATGATATTATTATTACTGAAGATGATATTTCTGGGACTGCGTAGGTCAAGGTAGACCTTGGGAAGGTCTTTATGTGAAGGACCTTGGATTTTTGCGATACTTTCTTGGGATTGAGGTTGCCTGTAGCAGCAGAGGTATTGTTCTTTCTCAGAGAAAGTATGTGTTGGATCTTCTCTCAGACACTAGGATGTTGGGGTGCAAACCGGCATCATCACCCATGATTCCAAACCTGAAGTTTACTGCTGAAGGTGAGGAGTTGAGAGATCCGACTGTCTATCAGAGATTGGTAGGTAGACTTATCTACCTAGCTAACACTAGACCAGACATTTTATTCGTTGTCAGCTGAATTAGTCAGTTCATGCATAGACCATGTCAGCCTCATCTTGATGCAGTTTATCATATTCTTTGGTACCTCAAGTCTTGTCCTGGACTTGGGTTATTCTATGCATCAAGATCTCAGACTGGTTCTCTAGCCTGTTATTCAGATTCAGATTCAGATTATGGGGGAGCATGTGACGGTCGATCTACTACAGGCTTCTGTACTTTTTGAGAGACTCATCTTATCTCTTGAAAGAGCAAGAAGCAGTCAGTTGTCTCTCGCTCGTCAGCAGAGGCAGAATATCGGGCACTGGCACTTGGCACATGTGAGATTATCTGGTTATGATCGATTCTTGGCGAGTTGGGATTTCCAGTGACTTCTTCATCTACATTATATTGTGATAATCGATCTGCTATTCAGTTTGCTTCTGACTCTGTATTACACGAGAGGACGAAGTATATAGAGATCGATGTCCATTTTCTTCAGGAGAAGGTTAACAGTGGCACTGTCACTCCATCGTTTTTATGGGGACCAGTGATTAGGTTACGGATGTTTTTACCAAACTTGTCACTCTATCTATTCTTTGGGACTCTGTTGTCAAATTTGACTTAGTTGACATTTTTGCGCCTTGCTTAAGGGGGAGTGTTGGAGATATAACAGTAGCCTAGTTTATTAAGGTTTATTAAGTTTTCCTTGTTTTCCTTTTTTACCTTTTTATCCTATTGTAACTTTTATTGACTATATTTACAGGGGCTCTACACTTAGTTTGTATCCTTTTTTCACTCACATCTATCTCAAGTATATCAATAGATTTGGTGACTATGACTTTAAAGACTCGATGTTGGACATGGCTCGGACGACTCATTCAAGTCGCGTGGACTCGGGGCATGCGAACTCGTGGTTTATATGAAATGTGGAATGGTATCGGATTGGAAGGTTCCGAGTTGGATACTATCAGAGGCAGAGCCAAGATTCTATCTTAGAGATGACAAAAACATGAATGAAAAGTTTTTCCCAGAGCTCTATTAGTACAGATTAAATTGTGTGATATTTTCATATATTCATATCCAAGAATTAATCACTAGAAGAATATTATAATTAGTTTCAAGTTAACATTAAGAAAATATGAACAAACAAAGATGACCTCTGAATATTAACAGAAAATAGTCATTTTGTTTGGCAGCCTTAGACAAATATGGTGTACCTGACATGCTCTAGAATCTAGATCATGATTAAACTTCCTAGATGTTTGAAATGAACTAATCAATTTAGAAAAAAACAAGAACCAGTCACCTACAACTCCTCAGCCTGATGAAACATCCAAGAAGAACCTATGAATATCCTTAGTCATTTTCTGTAGCTTGCAGATATGGACGATGGACAATTCTCTGAATTTTCTAAATGCTTGTACATATGCAAAAGTCATAGATGATGTAACATTGATGTTACTCAATATAATAAAGACATTTCCGATATAATTGATGGTTGTATCATGTCAAATTTTATTAAACCCATCCATGACCTATATATATATATATATATATATATATATATATATATATATATAGTTCTATTTATGTCATGAATAGTCAAATTCTTTTACCTTGTCACTCGATGAGTCTGGAGGGACAACCCGATTTCAATTCTAACCCATAAAAAATGTTTGCATATCTGATAATTCTGTGTCGATTACATATCACCAGCCCGTTTGGGTGATGCTACATGTATTGCTACCAAGGGGATAATGAATAGAAAAAAAAAAAAAAAGAAGCCTTCATATTTTCATACAATATATAAAAGCAGTCAATGATTACCAAATTGACAAGTCAGTTAGGAACTAAATTTAAATTATCCATTGCTTATGATGATCAACACGTTGACAAGTCAGAAGAAACCTTATTCAAGTTGTCTAAGCTTAAGCTATTTTAATTCTGTTTCTTTGCTTATATATATACCCGTCTCTGATATGAATAACAAGAAGGGAAATAAACAGTTTTTGATTAATATGTATGTGACAAGGCCTCTCTCTCACTACATAAGACTTCCAGAATCTCTTTCATTACCCCCTGAAGGTCCCAATTCTGGTTATTTAGTAATACAAGATGAAGAATCTGAGACATATACATGTTTTGGATTGTGCAAGGACCGCTTCCTTGCAGACCTGCCGTTCCCTCAGAACAAGGATCTAACCATGCGATATTCATCAGGGGCAGGCGAGCACGAGACTGTATTTCATGACGGTGTTTCCTTCATTCCAGTCCTTAATCTGCCATTGTCTTCTAATCGTTATTATGCGATAAAGCCTCATGGGAATCATAAAGGGTATGCAAGCTCTACTAAATGAACTCAATTTCTTCTTCTTCTTTTTCTGTTACTGCTGTTTAAGCTTTGGACACTAAGATCGACCCATATTTTCATCAGTATCATTCAATTGTTATAAGTTTTGCATTCATAATTTCGCGTAACATAAAAGATTCAGCATGATATAACAGATTAAGGTCCAGATCTTAGCAGGAGTATAGACATCAAGAATTTAGGAAATAAAAATAGTGCATCTAGGCGACATGGACCCGAGCAAGGTCCATTCATAGCTTAGCAGGATTATAGAACAATTCCACAGTTACAAACCAAAATTCAGGGCCAGTTCTGCAGCAAAACAAATTATACGGGACTGAGCAGCTATTTATTGTGTATATTAAGCTTTTCTGTTTACCATTTGACGTCTGCAATGCTATATAGAATCCTGATATTAAATTTTTCCCTTTCGAAACAGTTTTTAAAGGAAATAATCAGGTAACTGTTTTACTTCCCTGGATGGATATGGACAAGCTTTGCTTAAATACCCTTTCTTCAACTGCCTTTTCAGGGAAGCATACACTTCTTCAAGGGAGGAAGACATGGCCACTTGCTGTTTTTGCCGTTGCATCCGAGATGTAAAATCAAGACCATTGGATCCAGATGACAGGTATCAGCAATTTGATATTGCTCTTTATGAAAAAAGTTGCATTGCCAAGGGTCATTTTTATGCCAAGTCGGTAGCACCTGATGGCTTCCCCCCTCACTTCTTGAGGAGAAAAGGGTGGCAAATTTATGGGAAAACTCCCAAAAACTACAAATTAGGCGAAGCTCCAGGCCTCAATGCTGCACTCCGAGCACGCCTGCCAGAATTCAACTTCCCAATGTCCTATAAAAGCTCTGAAAGCGTCGTTGTGGGGAAATGGTATTGTCCTTTCATCTTTATCAAAGATGGAAATTTGAGAGATCAAATGAAAAGATCGATGTTTTATGAGATGACACTCGAGCAAAGATGGGAGCAGATTTTCGCATCTGAGAATAATTCCAGAGAAGGGAACAGTGTGTTTGTCGATGTTTCTGTTCAAACAAAAGTTGTCTCTGTTGTTCCTGGCAAGGAAGCCGTGTGGAATGAGAGAGAGGTGGACGATGGGGCGATATGGTTCAGGAATTTTGGCAATGTAGGAGAGGGAGTAAGTGTGGGATTAAGGGTAGAAATTGTTGAGAGAATGAAATGGGAGCAAGAAAGAGCAGGCTGGGTTGGTGGGGAAGACAGGCAAGCAAGGGTGAAGAGAGTGGAGGAGTTTGGAGGCATTGGTGGATGGAGAAAATTTGGATGCTATGTGTTGGTTGAGAGGTTTGTGTTGAAAAGAATGGATGAAAGCTTGGTGATGACTTGTGATTTCAAGCACACTCATCAGATCATAAGCAACTGGGAGTGAAGTTATGTGTTATCTTGTTTCATACATATTCAAAAGCTCTGTGTGTGTTGTTTAGGGAATGTCAATGTTTTAGAGGCCTTGTTCTGGTTTAACTTCAATTTTCAGTTCACTTATTTAAGATGAGATTATGTCAATCTGTCATTTGAATTCTAAATTTCATTTTTTTTTCTTCGTAGTGTTGGCTTCAGAAACACTAAGTTGGTAATATAACTTGTGATTCTAGGTCAATGGGTATGTAACCGATAGTGAACAATATATTTTATACTATACAATGGTGTAATCTTTCGTTGTTTGACCTTGACGCATGAAAGTTACGAAGTTGCTTAGTTCATATTTTTCTTTCTTTTTTGTATCTGAATAGACGCATTACTTCTCGGAATCATTGAATCAACTTGTCCATTCGATCAGGGAGAAAATGAATCAGGTTTGCAAAACACCATTGCAAAACTAATTAGTGTAGTATATGATTCTTTATGAATTTTGGGTTGGATTAGTCTAAATCATGTGTTTCTTTTTCAGTTTTAGATATTATCAAGTGTTGAGTCATATCTAGAATGTCCAATTCAAGTGCACATGAGTTAAGCCAAATGGGGGCTGGCTAGCCACAAGTTTTGAAAGGTCATTAACTCCCGTGCGATGGTCCGGGGCGATGTATTTGTGATATTTTAGCTTGGGACACATTTTATTTGACAGTTTTCTGTCTATTACATACGATTTAAGACAAGGAGAAAATTTTAGGTGAGTGCTACACATCACGTGACAGCTTAACCCAGTCTGTACATCCAATAAAATAGTGCATTTAAAATTTCTCCAAAGTTTTAGTGGTGTGTAGTTGAAGGTATACACCACGTGGATCAGGCCACGTGGTGTGTAGTACTCACCCAAAAATTTCTTGAGGCATATGAGTTGGTTTGCTGCTAATGCGTGATACGAAGTCAATTACTCGGCTATTGGGTCAGTTTGGAAGTGACAATTTTAAGTGAAAATTTACGATTTAAAAAGTTTCGTTAAAAAATTAAAGTTAAAAAAAAAAATTAAAATTGTTTGAGGTGATTTTTAAAAAATTAGAAAAATTAAAAAAGTTTATTTTGAGCGGCTTTCTAGCTTTTTTGTGTCAAAATAAAAAAAAAATAATTATTTGTATGTATAGATTATACATAATAGTTTCTAAAATTTGAATTTTAAATTTTTTATGTCACTAATAATATTTTTGAATATAATAAACTAAAAAGTTATATGGATCTGTGACAAAACTCTAAAAAGTAAGAAAAAAAGCTCATAAAATTAGCTTCTTGAATCAATCTAAATAAATCTTTTTGAGTCTAAAAAACTATTGCATAAGCTGGTAAAAAAGTCAAGTTCTAAATAGACCTGATTTATTTTACTCTAAAACCCTTAAAAGTTATTTTTTCAAGTTAGCTTCAAACATATTCAGACCCGTTAATACACTTAGAACTTGTTTGGATGAATTTTGAGCAAGAGTTTGGATTGATTTCTCTAAACTTTTTCAAACTCAAACCTTTTTTTGCAAAAATACGAGTCAACATTCAATTTGATTCATACTTATGTTTAGTATGTAATACATACACATATAGGACCCACAGATACATCATAATTATTAATAACTATTTGTCCTATAAATGATTATTTTACTCTCGGTCAATTCAATTCATACTCATGTTAAGGGGTACAATTATTTTTTAAATCCTTAACTCTTTACACATCTTCTCAAACTCACCCTCCTCTTAGGTTTGACGAAACTCATGATCTGATGGGGAGATGTGTTTGAACTAATTTATACATACCTTAATTAATTTTTCTCTTCATTTCGATCCAAGACGAGTTATCCATATCAGGACAAAGATATTCATAAGAAAATAATCTCTCATGACCTGATCCTAAAAATTTGTTAAAATTTAAATTTAAAATATCTGAATTTATATTCCGTTCTAGTTACTATTTAAACTACCCATTAAAATTAAAATTTAAACACAATTTGGAGCCATGGTTTATGGCTCAGCAGATAAAAGTCAAGACCGAATTTCTCTGTCATCATAAATTAACTCATTAAGAAACTAACCAAAACAGAATCTCTCACTGTAACACTATAGAAAGTATCTATATGTAGAGATTGCATTCGTCTCTGTTTACCCACTACTCTCTCTCTCTCTCTCTCAGCCTTTGACACTTCTTTAAATACAATTTCCTTACTTCCCTCTGGCTCCTCATTCGGGGAAAGCAAGAAGAATCATTTATATTCTTAAGATTTTTCTTGGAAAAATTTAAGAATAAATATATGATGAAATTGAATGATTATTGGAGAAAATTATATTGAAAATTAGATGTTATTTGCTAAAATACAACTTAAGAGATTTATTCGGAACAAAGATAAATTTTTCAAATCATTTTAACGAATTGGAATATAAATTATGAAAAAAAAAACCAACAAATTGTTATGTAAACATTTTAATAGAATTTGGATTGGGATAGATTGAAATCCAATCCAAACCCGATCTCTTGGGAGGCCTAGTAAGCAGGCACCAATCACATACCCGTAGCCTTGATGCAACATCCTTGAGGGACCTCTGATATTAACATTCAATTACCTAGCTGCCTGCCACAAACAGCTGTGCCGCAGCTGATATGACCTAATGCAAAACTTCCTTGATATTTCAAGTAGGCCGTCAATTCTCTAGAGTGAGATGTGTTTGCGTCTAATCTCAAAGGGTCAGTGTCGTGAAAAAATATTTTTTTGATATTTAATTTATTTATTAATTTATATTTAATGAATTATGTAATATTGAATTCGTGTCATGCATGAACTGTGTATAACTGATATATAAACGAGTCGTATTATATATTTTTTAATTGACTTTATACATACCCGTTTCGTTTATTAATCGTGTCATATTAAGTTCACTTATTTATTGAATAGGTAATTTAAGAAAAATTCATACTCTCTAAGTCGTGTTAACGAATCGTATTATATTTTAAAATTCATAATTACAAATAACACGTCAACTTATAGTCAACAAAAGAAGAGGTTGTCGTGTGACACCTATAATACCTTGGACGGATGAAACATCGAGGAAGAAACTATGAATATCCTTTGAAGCAGCCATTTTCTTTAGCTTGCACGTATGGGTAAGTGTCTGAATTTTATAAAACGATTGAACATTTAGAAAAGTCTGAGTCGAATTCAACTTTCATGTTATTAAATAAGTAAGGCAATGTCTTCCGGGTTCCTATATATCTAGACTAATTTTTTTTCACATGACCTACAAATTTTATATAAAAGTAACACAAAGTTTAGAAGTGTGGGTTTGTTTATTTAATTTTATCTGCCAAATCGGCCTAATAAATAAGTTGTCACAACCCAAATATAAAAAACATGACACGACACGAATCTGATTATATGTTTGCAATCAGTTCTATGTAAATAGAATACAATTTTGATAACTATCAACGGACCTTTGCCAGCCACAAGTATATCTCGAAATGGGACAAATAATCATGTCGAACTTTGTGAGTTCGAACTAAACAGGTCGAGCTCTCTTTTTAAAGTACTCTAAAATAATTTTTAACCTCGACTCGTTTAAAACATGAGTCAAACTCGAATCAAGTCTTATCTAAATCGAGCCCGAGCTAAATCTGAAAGCCATATGGTGCAAAGCACAAAAGTTTTCTGGTGGTCAAAATCCCTGAATTATCTACAAGGTGGTATCCTGATTCTGGTGCTGCCACAAATATGGTGTACCTGATATGCCCTAGAGTAAAACTTCCTAGATGTTTGAAATGAACTAGTCAATTTAGAAAAAAACAAGAACTTGTCACCTACAGTTCATCGGCCTGACGGAACATCCAGGGAGAACCTATGAATATCCTTTGAAGCAGTCATTTTCTTTAGCTTGCAGGTATGGACTATGGACAATTCTATGGATTTTCTAAATGCTTGCACATTTGCAATGGATGATGTAACTTTGATGTTACTAAATAAAATAAACGTCATTTATGATATAATCATATAGGACCGATGGTAGTGTTATGTCAAAATTTGTTAAATCCATCCACGATCTATTTATAGTCACGTATAGTTCGGTTTATGCCTTAAATAGTCGAATTCTTTTTACTATGACACTGAACCGATTACAATTCTAATCTATTAAAGCTAATTAGCACATACCTGATAATTCCGTATCGATTACGTATCCCTAGCCCTTCATATGGTTACTGATGGTATCCAAAAAATACCTAAAGTTGAACTCGGTTATTCAGTTCAGATCTCCCAGGTAGGAAACCCAGTCACGTGAAGACCTCAAGTCTGAGTTCTAGTCCTCGAGCTCTCGGGACTCGCATTTCCTAGTAGACGGTACAGAAGACAATTGTCATCCACCAAGTATCACCCCTCAATAACAACAATCGCGTATCCAGGCCGAATTCGCAGCTGCCTGATCATACCGCACAACCATTACTCAAATCAAGTGATTGTTACAAGATACAGGCTAAGATCTCGCCTTAGATCTGGCTAAACTCAAAATTAGTTATAAATAATGTACAAAGCCCTCGTCGCTAGGGGACAAGCAATGCAAGTTTATTCAAAACACTGTGTAAACTCTCCCCCACTATCAATATATCCCCTAGGAGCAAAAAGCTCATTTGAAAAGTGGATTAGCCGAGCTCCCGTGCTGGTGAACCATTATAATTCTTTTGTTTGATTGATTCTGTTCCCCAAAATCCTTACTCTCAAAAGCCTTGAAACTCGGATTGATCTCGTTAGAGCATCCTCTAGTCCCTATTCTACTCAATCGCATTATACACACCATCAGTTGGTGTCGTCTGTGGGAACGATTGTTCCTCTTACAAATATACTAATTTTTTTCAATAATTGATGGTCTTTACACGCAATATAAGTAGAAGCCAGATGAATCTTCAACGGTTACAGAACCAGCAAGAAGTTACCAACGAAAGGTAGCAAGAAAGTCTTCATGATTTCCTGCCCACTACAAAAATTGATCCTCCCATGGTAGATCCCCCTCCAAACAACGAACTTAAGGCTCTTCGCATAGTCAACTAGCGTCTCCTCCAACAAAATGAGGAGTTATTGAATCTCCACCCACATCCCCAAAAGGCACAACCAACCCCAGATGATCCTCCGCCGAGGGAACATCATCGCATCAACCCCCTAAAGAACATCACCGAAGGGGACAAACTTAGCCAAATTATGGGCAATGCCCATCAAGCCCCCAGGAACGAAGACTACGAGGAAGTGCAAAGTAAAAATAGGAAAATTCATAAAAACGAACTTCCCCCATTCTAGCAAGAGAGAAAAGAACAATATTAGGAACAATGTTTAAGAGAAATTCAGCAAGAGCAATCATATGAAGGAGGTTGTAAGAGGAAAGACTCCAGTAACCATGGACGCCTTAATATAGCAGATAGAGTCCCCTTTTACTGTTGAAGTATTGCACTTCTCCCTCCCACCGAAGTTCAAAATGTCTCAGGTGGAGGTTTTTGATGGGACAAAAGATCTCATGGTCCACCTCAGTACATACAAAAACCAAATGGAGCTTCACAGATATCAGGACCCAGTACAATGTCGAGTCTTTGCCATCACATTGAAAGACTCAACCTTAACATGGTTGAACAAGCTAACCCCAACGTCCATCCCATCCTATAAGAGCTTTGAAGGCGTTGTTGTGGGGAAATGGTATTGTCTAGTTATCTTTATCAAAGACGGACCATTGAGAGGTTAGATGAAAAGATCGATGCTTTATGAGATGACACTCGAGCAAAGATGGGAGTAGATTTGCACATGTGAGAATAATTCCAGTGAAGGAAAGATGGTGTTTGTTGTTGTTCAAACAGAAGTTGCCTCAATTGCTAGCAACGAAACCGTGTGGAATGAGAGAGAGGTGGTCGATGGGGCAATATGGTTTAGGAGTTTTGGCAATGTGGAAGGAGGAGGAGGAGTAAGTGTGGGATTGAGGGTAGAAATTGTTCAAAGAATGAAGTGTGAGCAAGAAAGAGCAGGTTGGCTAGGTGGGGAAGACAATCAAGCAAGGGTGAAGAGAGTAGAGGAGTTTGGAGGGGTTGGTGATTGGAGGAAATTTAAAAAATGCTATGTCCTGGTTGAGAGGTTTGTGTTGAAAAGAATGGATGGAAGCTTGGTGATGACTTATGATTTCAAGCACTCTATCAGATCAAAAGCAAATGGGAATGAGATTATGTGTTATCTTGGTTTTATAGATATATCCTCAGGAGTTTTTGTATTTAGTGATGAGTTTACCTTTTCTTAATTTTCCAAAAGTTTATTATATTACATATTCGCTATACCGATACATTTAGTTCTGTCATTGGTTAAAATTGTGAGAATTGTAGAGGATATCCGCAAAGATTAATAACAAAAAAAATTCCAAGTGAGTGCTTACTAGGAAGAAAAATGAGGCACTGATTTTAGAGGGAGCTGCTCTAAAGAGGAATCCATCGACAAGGGCCCTAAATCTATTTTCCATTGTTTTCATATATAAAATAAAAATACATAATTAAATAATTTAATATTTATGTACAAAGTATTTTTGNACAAAAACCAAATGGAGCTTCACAGATATCAGGACCCAGTACAATGTCGAGTCTTTGCCATCACATTGAAAGACTCAACCTTAACATGGTTGAACAAGCTAACCCCAACGTCCATCCCATCCTATAAGAGCTTTGAAGGCGTTGTTGTGGGGAAATGGTATTGTCTAGTTATCTTTATCAAAGACGGACCATTGAGAGGTTAGATGAAAAGATCGATGCTTTATGAGATGACACTCGAGCAAAGATGGGAGTAGATTTGCACATGTGAGAATAATTCCAGTGAAGGAAAGATGGTGTTTGTTGTTGTTCAAACAGAAGTTGCCTCAATTGCTAGCAACGAAACCGTGTGGAATGAGAGAGAGGTGGTCGATGGGGCAATATGGTTTAGGAGTTTTGGCAATGTGGAAGGAGGAGGAGGAGTAAGTGTGGGATTGAGGGTAGAAATTGTTCAAAGAATGAAGTGTGAGCAAGAAAGAGCAGGTTGGCTAGGTGGGGAAGACAATCAAGCAAGGGTGAAGAGAGTAGAGGAGTTTGGAGGGGTTGGTGATTGGAGGAAATTTAAAAAATGCTATGTCCTGGTTGAGAGGTTTGTGTTGAAAAGAATGGATGGAAGCTTGGTGATGACTTATGATTTCAAGCACTCTATCAGATCAAAAGCAAATGGGAATGAGATTATGTGTTATCTTGGTTTTATAGATATATCCTCAGGAGTTTTTGTATTTAGTGATGAGTTTACCTTTTCTTAATTTTCCAAAAGTTTATTATATTACATATTCGCTATACCGATACATTTAGTTCTGTCATTGGTTAAAATTGTGAGAATTGTAGAGGATATCCGCAAAGATTAATAACAAAAAAAATTCCAAGTGAGTGCTTACTAGGAAGAAAAATGAGGCACTGATTTTAGAGGGAGCTGCTCTAAAGAGGAATCCATCGACAAGGGCCCTAAATCTATTTTCCATTGTTTTCATATATAAAATAAAAATACATAATTAAATAATTTAATATTTATGTACAAAGTATTTTTGGTTGTCATTTCAAGATAGGAATGATAATTGAGCTGACCTACTCAACCTCGATTTAGACTCAGCTCGGATATGACTCGATTCAAGCTGAGCTAAGACTCTACAAAATGTTCAACTCGAACTCGCAAAACTTTGCTCATTTTTATGTAAAATAGTTGAGCAACTCAAGCTCAGCTCATTTTGGGTTAAGTTCAAACTCAACTCATTTTCTGAAGATCGTCTAAAAAAACGATTTTAATAGGCTCGAATCGATTATCAATCATACCTCAAGTACCATGGCAACATGTTCAAATGAACAACTCAATTTGGACATGAATAGCACTATGTTACTGGAAAAAAAAATTTGTATCATACTTTTTTATTGATTTTGGACTTTAATCTTCTTTTCATTTATCTATGATCGTTGACATTCTTTACACGTGTTAAATTTTTATGAAAGGAAAAAAAAACATGTATGATTTAATTTTTCAAGATCATTGTTGGACATGTTGGTCACTAGAAACCATCACAAAAAGAAGTTAGCATATGTCAATCACAATCCCATAGCCATAGTCTTGATGAAACATCCAGGAAAGACCTCTGGGTATCAGCAGAAAACATTCACTTTCTACAAAATTGTGGTAGCTGACATATGCTGTAGCAAGTACCCTTGATATTTCAAATGAACAAAACAATTTAGTCAACAATCATTTTCTTTATCTTGCAGGTATAGAGAAGGCTATGAATTTTCCAAAATGATTTCACACGTGGAAAAGTCATGTATTCAGATATATCTTGGATTAATGATTCTTAAAACAACATGAAATTACTAGGTATGAATTTAGTTTTGGTGGGTTGTGTTTATTCGTGTTGACTGAGTTTGTTAGATTTGTTTAATCAATAAGTTGATACAAATTAAATATACATGACAACATGATAAATGACACGAATTCTGACTAACAAACCAATTCGTCAGACTACGACCCACAGCCAGTCGTAGAATATACATACACTCGAGGATCATTTCAATTCACAAGAAGATTATGAACTAAGTTTAAATTTTTTATTGTTTTTGATAACCTTGTCTTTGCAATCTTTTGCAGAGATTTACCGCTCAAGACTTCGAAAAGTCAAGTCAACAAACTCGAAACCTTGTTCAATTTCTTTGCTTTTATATACACACATATCTCTCGTACAAACTGCAAGAAAGGAAATAAGCAGTGGAGGGAAAGAAAGTTTGATCAACATGTATGTGACTAGGCCTCTCTCTCACTACATAAGATTTCCAGAAGCTCTTTCATCACTCCCTGAAGGACCCAATTCAGGTTATTTGGTAATCCAAGATGTAGAATCATATATTTACTCTTGTTTTGGATTGTGCAAGAGCCGGTTACTCGAAGACCTACCATTCCCTCAGAACAAGATCCAACATGTATCTGATAGTGATAATGATGATGTTGTTGCCTTCATTCCAGTTCTTAATAAGCCATTGTCTTCCAATCATTATTACGCAATAAAGCCTCATGGTAAACATCAAGGGTATGAATTCTACACCAAACAAACTCGATTTTCTTCTTCTTCTTTCTAACTCTGGGGCTTTTTCTTTGTGGTTTTCATGTGTTATATGTTCTGTAACTTTCAGTATAGCATAAACATAAAGGTTTCTGTATGATAAACCTGACCAAAATTCATGAATGATAAACCCGCCTCTCACATGTGTTGAAGCAATGGGTTCATACATAAAGTTGGGACAAATTCCTCTAAGCTTAGGCTTAAGCTTTTGGGGTCGATTTGCATCCAACTTTGAAGGATCCAGAAGCGTCATCCCAATTTTGTCGCCAGAAAAATCGTCGGCGAAATTTTTTCCGCCGGAGTTTTAGCCGGCCGGAATTTTTGGGAGTCCTCCGTTTTTTTTTGGCTAGAAAGTCCCTATAAATAGGGAGCTTAATAAATAGAGAGCTTAATGAAAGCTAAAATCATCCAAAAAATAATGAGGAAAAAACAAAGAGAGAGATTCTGGAGAGGTGTTAAGATTTTTTTTAACAATCAAGCAAGGGTGAGGAGAGTAGAGGAGTTTGGAGGGGTTGGTGATTGGAGGAAATTTGGATGCTATGTGCTGGTTGAGGGGTTTGTGTTGAAAAGAATGGATGGAAGCTTGGTGATGACTTATGATTTCAAGCACTCTCATCAGATCAAAAGCAAATGGGAATGAGATTATGTGTTATCTTGGTTTTGTAGATATATCCTCAGGAGTTTTTGTATTTGGTGATGAGTTTACCCTATCTTAATTTTCCAAAATTTTATTAGATTATATATTCGCTATATCGATACATTTAGTTCTGTCATTGGTTAAAATTGTGAGAGTTGTAGAGGATATCCGCAAAGATTAATATCAAAAAAACCTCCAAGTGAGTGCTTACTGGGAAGAAAAATGTGGCACTGATTTTAGAGGGAGCTGCTCTAAAGAGGAATTCATCGACAAGGGCCCTAAATCTATTTTCCATTGTTTTCATACATAAAATAAAAATACATAATTAAATAATTTAATATTTATGTACAAAGTATTTTTGCCCAAATTGGAACCCTTAATTTTTTGGACTGGCCACTTGGACCATGACCACTGTTATTTAGCCTGCTCGGCTTATGGCCACCCCTACTGACCCATTTGGTTGTCCCTTCAAGGTAGGGCTGATAATTGAGCTGAACTACTTAGACTCGGTTTAGGTTTATCTTAGATATGACTCGATTCAAGCTGAAGACTCTACAAAATGTTCAACTCGAACTCACAAACCTTTACTCGTTTTTATGTAAAATAGTTGAGCAACTTGAGTCCGGCTCAAGTTCGGCTCATTTTGGGTTCAATTCAGACTCGACTCATTTTCTAAGGCTCATTTGAAAAAACGATTTTAATAGGCTATACTCGATTGTTAGTCCTACCTCAAATATCACGGTAACATGTTCAAATGAACAACTCAATTTGATCAGGAATAGCACTATGTAACTGGGAAAATAAAATATGTATCATACTTTTTTAATGATTTTAGACTTTAGATCTTCTTTTCATTTATCTATGATTGTTGATATTCTTTACACGTGTTAAATTTTTATGGAAAAAAAAAACATGTATGATTTAATTTTTCGATATCATTCTTGGACGTGTTGGTCACTAGTAACCGTCACAAGAAGAAGTTAGCATTTGTCAATCACAATCCCATAGCCTTGATGAAACGTCCAGGAAAGACCTCTGGGTATTAGCAGAAAACAGCCACTTTCTACAAAATTGTGGTAGCTGACATATACTGTGGAGGCGTGTAGCAAGTATCCTTGATATTTCAAATGAACAAAACATTTTAGTCAACAGTCATTTTCTTTATCCTGCAGGTATAGAGAAGGCTATGAATTTTCCAAAATGATTTCACACATGAAAAAGTCAAGTATTCAGATATATCCGGGGTTAATAATTCTTAACACAATTAGCAAATCTGATGCAAGAACAACACGAAGTTATAGGGTATGAATTTAGTTTTGGCGGGTTCAGTTTACTCAAGTTGACCGAGTTTGTTAGACCCGTTTGATCAATATGTTGATATAAATTGAATATATACGATACAATAAATGAGACAATTTTAAATGTATATGACTATAAAATGGGTTGTGTGTGGATTAAGCGAATTCAATACAACACGGCTTAGAAAATTCAATTCGACAGACTACGATCCACAGCCAGTCGTAGAATATACATGCACTCAAGGATCAGCACAATTCGAAAGTAGATTATGATCTAAGTTTAAATTTTTTACTGTTTTTGATAACCTTGTCTTTGCAATCTTTTGCAGAGATTTACCGCTCAAGACTTTGAAAAGTCAAGTCAAAAAACTCGAAACCTTGTTCAATTTCTTTGCTTTTATATACACACATATCTCTCGTACAAACTGCAAGAAAGGAAATAAGCAGTGGAGGGAAAGAAAGTTTGATCAACATGTATGTGACTAGGCCTCTCTCTCACTACATAAGATTTCCAGAAGCTCTTTCATCACCCCCTGAAGGGCCCAATTCAGGTTATTTGGTAATCCAAGATGAAGAATCCCAGACTTACTGTTGTTTTGGATTGTGCAAGAACGAGTTCCTTGAAGACCTACCATTCCCTCAGAACAAGATCCAACATGTATCTGATGGTGATAATGATGATGCTGTTGCTTTCATTCCAGTTCTGAATAAGCCATTGTCTTCCAATCATTATTACGCAATAAAGCCTCATAGTAAACATCAAGGGTATGAATTCTACACCAAACAAACTCGATTTTCTTCTTCTTCTTTCTAACTCTGGGGCTTCTTCTTTGTGGTTTTCATGTGTTATATGTTCTGTAACTTTCAGTATAGCATAAACATAAAGGTTTCGGTATGATAAACCTGACCAAAATTCATGAATGATAAACCCGCCTCTCACATGTGTTGAAGCAATGGGTTCATACATAAAGTTGGGACAAATTCCTCTAAGCTTAGGCTTAAGCTTTTGGGGTCGATTTTCATCCAACTTTGAAGGATTCAGAAGCGTCATCCCAATTTTGTCGCCAGAAAAATCGTCGGCGAAATTTTTTCCGCCGGAGTTTTAGCCGGCCGGAATTTTTGGGAGTCCTCCGTTTTTTTTGGCTAGAAAGTCCCTATAAATAGGGAGCTTAATAAATAGAGAGCTTAATGAAAGCTAAAATGATCCAAAAAATAATGAGGAAAAAACAAAGAGAGAAATTCTGGAGAGGTGTTAAGATTTTTTTTGTGAAAAATTCTTGTATTTATTTCTTTAAAGAGAAATAAAGTATTCCTCTTTGTTTATATTGTGTTAGATTTGATTTTTTGGGCCTGGGTCACCAATAATTGGTATCCAAGTCAGGTTGGGTTGCCGGAAAATTTTTTCAGCCCACTATTTTTGGTTCATACAAGTATTAAACGAATTCGAAATCAAATTTTGATTGCACCATTTGATTCCTCTCGCTGAAACGAGTCAAACCCCATTGCCCTTGCATCAATCCAACAACCGACGCTCTCTCACTGTTCTCGCCGGAAAGTTCACCGGCCGCCGGAGATGGCCGGAGTTGCTGCCAAAACATTTCGCCGGACCGGTTTCTAGAGGGGATGAAGACAACGGAATATTCCCAAGGGATATTCAATCTCAAAATATTCTCAAAAAATATTTTGTCTCGAATATTTTCAAAGAATATTCTTAAAGAATATTACATCTAATAAATATTCTATCGCCGTCAATATATTCCATCAAATTTAACGGAAATATTCTGTTAAGTTTATCAAAAACTTGTTGAGTCAGAACTCATTTTATCTCCGTTTTTTGTAAACCAAGACTCTTTTTTAACTATTTCAATCATTCTGAACCAAGAATTAACATATCGTTTTGAAATATCGTTTTGATTAACTAAAAAATAAAAACATTTTGAAAAACAACCTTAGATGTCGGTGAGTTGTCGTATTGAAGATTTGCTGGCTATTCATAATTGGACACAACCTTTCGGCACCATCTTACCCTCACCGTCTTATGTGGCACAATCACACTCTATCATTAAATATCGAATGGTAAGATCCACTGATCCAATATTACACATTGAGATAGTATATTGATTTCTTAGAATATACATGCACTCAAGGATCATCACAATTCTCAAGTAGATTAAAAACTGAGTTTAAGTTATTTCACTGTTTTTGATAATCAAGAGACTTCGACAAAGTCAAGTCAACAAACTCGAAACCTTATTCAAGTTGTTAAGGTCTTATTTAGTAACGTTTATGTTTTTTCGTATTTTATTTTTATTTTAATTTTTAGAGAATATCAAAAAAAAAAAAAATTCGTTTGATATCATTTGTTTTTTAGTGTCATCGTTTTCAAAACAATGAACGATTTTCAAAAAGGGAGAAAAATCGTTTTTGAAAAAATCAAAAATGTTTAACTCACGTTAAGCATTAACGAGATCAAAAGGTCGAACTTTGTTAGTAAAAAAAACACACCCTTATTGGCCCAAAGACGGTGAAGGGTTCTCTATAGCTGATCTGGGTTCTAGTCTTTGTCTTCGTCTAGTCTTCGTCTTCGACGGTGAAGGGTTGTCCGTCAAGGTAAATAACCTGATTTGTCTTCATTTTCTTCATCTGCGCCTAACCTGATATGGGTTCTTTATAGCTGCTATTTTTTTTTTTTTTGCTCTATAGCCTCTATATTAGCTATTTCAATCTCTTTGCTTACATATACACACATATCCTCCTACAAACTGAAAGAAAGGAAACAAACAGTGGAGGGAATGAAAGTTTGATCAATATGTATGTGACCAAGGCCTCTCTCTCACTACATAAAATTTCCCGAAGCACTTTCATCACCCCCCGAAAGTCCCAATTCAGGTTATTTGGTAATCCAGGATGAAGAATCCCAGACTTACTGTCGTTTTGCATTGTGCAAGAACCGGAACCTCGCAGACCTATCGGTCCCTCAGAACAAGACCCAATATGTATCTGATGATGGTGTTACTGTTGCCTTCATTTCAATCCTTAATCAGCCATTGTCTTCCAATTGTTATTACGCAATAAAGCCTCGTGGGAAACATAAAGGGCATGAATGCTTTACCCGACAAACTCGATTTTCTTCTTCTTCTTTCTCACTGTGGGGGGGGCTCTAAGATCAATCCGCTTTTTACTTGTGGTATTCATATCATTCAGGCATAGTTGTATAGAGCAATTCCGTTCAAAACTATTTTTAAGAGGAGTAATCTTGTATGTATGTAACTGATTTAATTTCCTTAAAACACTACCTGATGGTTTCCCTTCATATTTCTTGAGGAGAAAAGGGTGGCAAATCTATGGCAAAACTCCCAAAGACTACGAATTAGGCAAAGCTCCAGGCCTTAATTCTGCCCTCTTTGCATGCCTTCCTGAATTTAACTTCCCAATGTCCTATAAAAGCTCAAAAAGCATCATTGTGGGGAAGTGGTATTGTCCTTTTATCTTCATCAAAGATGAACCATTGAGCGATCAAATGAAACAAACGATGTTTTATGAGATGAGACTCAAGCAAAGATGGGAGCAAATTTACTCATGTGAGAATAACTTCAGCGAAGGAAACAAGGTGTTTATTGATGTTGCTGTTCAAACAGAAGTTGTCTCAGTTGCTAGCAAGGAAGCATTGTGAAATGAGAGAGAGGTGGTCAATGGGGCGGTATGGTTTAGGAGCTTAGGCAATGTAGGAGGAAGAGTAAGTGTGGGATTGAGGGTAGAAATTGTTCAAAGAATGAAATGCAAGCAAGAAAGAGCAGGCTGGCTAGGTGGGGAAGACAAGCAAGCAATGATGAAGAGAGTAGAGGAGTTTGGAGAGGTTGGTGAATGGAGGAAATTTGGATGCTATGTTCTGGTTGAAAGGTTCATATTGAAAAGAATGGATGGAAACTTGGTGATGACTTATGATTTCAAGCACACGCATCAAATCAAAATCAAACGGGAATGAGATCGTTATGTGTTATCCTGTTTTATGGATATGTCCTCCAGAGTTTGTTGTGTTTGCTAAAGAATTAAAACCTTGATTATGTTTTTCTAAAATTTGATTTATATGATCACTTATTTCACTATATTGAGAAGTTATGTAGTAATGTTATTGAACAAATTGTGAGCACTGGATAGAGAATGCCAATGCGTAATAGTTTTATACATTTTGTTCTTGTTTCTTCTCTTTCACAATGGTGTATTGCATTGGATTCTCGAGGCAATGACAGCATGGTTATAGGTTGTGGTATCAATCATCGACATAGACAGCACTAGGACACATCGTTTACAATGTCGCGGAATGGTAATGGTGTTATGCACAAAATTCTGCATAGAATAAGAAGTTTAACATCACAAGATATTGAAGTCATATTGCATCGTGGCAGAATGGTATCAATAGATTTGGTGACTATGACTTTAAAGACTCGGGGTTGGAGATGGCTCGGAAGACTCATTCAAGTTGCATAGACTCGGGGCATTCAGACTCATGGTTTATATGAAACATGGAATGGTATCAGATTGGAAGGTTCCGAGTTGGATACTATTAGAGGCAGAGCCAAGATTCTATCTTAGAGATGACAAAAACATGAATGAAAAAATTTTCCCGGACCTCCGTTTGTACGGATTAAATTGGGTGATGTTTTCATATAGTCAAATCCAAGAATTATTCACTAGAAGAACATTATAATTAGTTTCAAGTTAACATTAAGAAAATATGATCATTTTTGTTGAAAGACCTGATGGAACTTCTACTGATGAACTTGAAGAGTTTAAACATATTGTTATCAATCACTTTCAGAGTCTACTTGGTGACTTAGCTCCTTGTTCACTTGATAGAGATGAAGTACTTGGCAACCTCCCTTGGAAGCAACTCTTAGTGGAGCAATCACTAAATCTAACTAGAGATGTCACAGATGAAGAGGTCAAGAGAGCAGTATTCTCAATCCACCCCAACAAGGCTCCAGGACCTGATGGCTTTAATGGTCACTTTTACAGAGCTGCCTGGCCTATCATTGGGGGAGATATTTGTGGTGCAATCAAAGAATTCTTCACAAGGGGTCAAATTTTGAGGGAAACAAACTCCACTATTTTGACCTTGGTTCCTAATGTTCCCAATCCTTCAAAAATGGGAGACTTTAGGCCCATCTCTTGTTGTAACACAATGTACAAGTTCATTTCTAAGATAATTGCTAATAGATTAAAGGAAGTTCTCCATGAAATTGTGAGTCATAACCAGACTGCTTTTGTGCTAGGAAGAAGGATAGGAGATAATGTGCTTGTTGTTCAAGAAATCATGAGGGATTACCACAAAAATAGAGGATCTCCTAGGTGTGCTATAAAAGTTGATCTTATGAAAGCCTTTGACATGGTCGATTGGGGGTTTATTACATCTGTTTTGAGGAGGTTCAACTTTCCTGCAAACATGATCGTATGGATACAAAATTGTTTGTTCACATCAAAGTTTTCCATCCCTCTTAATGGTGAATTAGTTGGTTTTTTCTCAAGCAAAAGGGGAATAATACAAGGTGACCCTATGTCCCCTTACTTGTTTGCTCTTGCTATAGAGGCTCTTTCTTGTATCCTTAATGCTGAAATCTTAGTATGTAACTCCTTTAAGTATCATTGGAGATGTAAGAAGCAAAAATTAGTCCATTTATGCTTTGCTGATGATTTAATTCTCTTCAGTCATGGGGATTCAACTTCAGTTGCAACTCTTAAGAAGTCCCTTGACAAATTCCAATGTCTCTCTGGTCTTGTGGCAAATGCAACAAAGAGTCATCTCTTTATGGCTGGAGTTTTAGAGGATGAAAGTGATTTAATCAAGTTATGCCTAGGGTTCGAAACTAGGACACTCCCAGTTAAGCACCTAGGCATTCCAATCATTTCAACCAAGCTAAGGCCAAGGGACTGTACAACATTGGTGGACAAAATTAAGGTTAGAATTAAAAGTTGGATCAACAAATCACTATCGTATGCCGGTAGGCTTTAGTTGATCAAATCTGTCCTCTACAACATGCGAAGCTATTGGCTTTGTCATATCATCCTTCCTAAAAGTATCTTGTAAAGGATTGAGCAACTTCTAAGATCTTTCTTATGGAGTGGTAAAGAGCAAATGAAAGGGGCCCCAAAAGTAGCTTGGAAAACTATTCTCAAAACATGGTCTTAAAGATCTACATACTTGGAACAAAGCTCTTATGCTTAGGTACATCTGGTGTGTTCTCTCTAGAAAATAGAATCTTTGGGCTGTTTAGGTGAGGACTAATAACTACTTGAAGCTAAAGAGTTTTTGGGAGGCTAGGCTACCCTAAATTGCTCTTGGAATTGGAGAAAACTACTAAAGTTGAGAGATGTGGCTAGACCTTTGTTCCTTCACTTAATTGGTGATGGGAAATTTATCCATTTTGTGGCAAGATAACTGGCATCCTCATTGCTGAGATGGCCTGCTACTATCATTGATACCTCTCTCCTTCCAGTTCACGCCAAGGTTACAACTATCATCAATGGAAATTCTTGGGCATGGTCTATTTCTAAGGTAGATGAAATTATGCAAATTCAAAATTCTCTCCCCACTTACCTCCCTAACCCACAACAAACAGATAAGGTGAGATAGCTACCCTGTTGCACTGGTATTTACACTGCACAATCTACTTGGAAATGTTTCCATAGGGCTTCACCTATGGTTTTTTGGTACAAATTTGTCTGGTTCCCTCAACACATTCCCATAATGGGCTTTATATTATGGTTGGCTATTCATGAGAAGCTAGGGACTATGGATCATATAAAGAAATATATGCAGCAGTTAAGCTCTATCTGTGTGTAATGCAAAAACACAGAGGAAAGTCACTCCCATCTTTTCTTTGATTGCTTAGTGACAGGTAAAATTTGGAACAAAGTTCTTCAATTCACCCATGCATCTTGGTTTTCTCTCACATGGCCAAATGCGATACAATCAGCTTCTGAACACTGGAGAGGAAAATCTCCTAGGGTCATAATGCTTAAATTGAGCCTTGCAGTCACAGTTTACACTCTTTGGAGAGAAAGATATGCTAGAATCTTCAGGAATACAAGGATGTTGCAACCACCTTCAAATACATTATTCAAGTTATCAAGTGTAAACTTATCACTGCTAACTACCGGCATACTCCAATGAACTTAGCCTTCCTTCAAATGTGGAGTTCCTCGGTCTCTAATACTCTTGTTGTATTATGAGCTTCTTTTACTTCTTTTGTTTTCATAAACGGGTACAAATTCTGCTAGTGTGCAGTTCTTTTACCAGTTTGGATTTGTTTTGTATTAGTTGTCATTTAATAACCAAAAGACAAAAAAAAAAAAAGAAAAAATATGCAGTCATATTTTATGTATATGCAGTAAATGATTACCAAATTGACAAGTTGGTTAGGAACTAAATTTAAATTATCCATTGCTTATAATGATCAACACGTTGACAAGTCAGAAGAAACCTTATTCAATTTGTCTAAGCTTAAACTATTTTAATTATGTTTCTTTGCTTATATATATACCCGTCTCTGATAAGAATAACAAGAAGGGAAATAAACCGTTGTTGATCAATATGTATGTGACAAGGCCTCTCTCTCACTACATAAGCTTCCAGAATCTCTTTCATTACCCCTTGAAGGTCCAAATTCGGGTTATTTAGTACTACAAGATGAAGAGTCAAAGACTATACTTGTTTTGGATTGTGCAAGGACCGTTACATCGCAGACCTGCCGTTCCCTCAGAACAAAGATCTAACCATGCAAATATTCAACAGTTTCGGGCGAGAGCAGAAGTGTGTCTCATGACGATGTTGCTTTCATTCCAGTTCTTAATCTGCTATTGTATTCCAATCGTTATTATGCGATAAAGCCTCATGGGAATCATAAAGGGTATTCAAGCTCTACTAAATGGAATCAATTCCTCCTTCTTCTTCTGCTGCTGCTGCTGTTTAAGCTTTGGACTCTAAGATCGACCCATATTTTCGTCGGTATCATTCAATTGTTATAAGTTTTGTATTTATTATTTCGTGTTAACATAAATGATTCAGCATAATAGAACAGACTAAGGTCCAGATCTTAGCTGGAGTATAGACATCATGAATTTAGGAAATAAAATAGTGCATCTAGGCCACATAGACCCGAGCAAGGTCCATTCATAGCTTAGCAGGATTATAGAACAATTCCACAGTTACAGACCAAAATTCAGGGCCAATTCTGCAGCAAAACAAATTATAAGGGACTGAGCAGCTATTTATTGTGTATATTAAGCTTTTCTTTTTCCTATTTGATGTCTGCAATGCTATATAGAATCCTGATATTAAATTTTTCCCTACAAAACAGTTTTTAACGAAAATAATCAGGTAACGTCATTGTTTTACTTCCCTGGATGGATATGGACAAGCTTTGCTTAAATACCCTTTATTCAACTGTCTTTTCAGGGAAGCATACACTTCTTCAAGGGAGGAAGACAAGGCCACTGGCCTCTTTGGCCGTAGCATCCGAGATGTAAAATCAAGACCATTGGATCCACATGACATATATCAACAATTTGATATTGCTCTTTATGAAACAAGTTGCACTGCCAAGGGTTATTTTTATGCCAAGTCCGTAGCACCTGATGGCTTCCCTCCTTCTTTTTTGAGGGCAAAAGGGTGGCAAATTTATGGAGAAACTCCCAAAAACTACGAATTAGGCGAAGCTCCAGGCCTCAATGCTGCCCTCAGAACACACCTGCCAGAATTCAACTTCCCAATATCCTATAAAAGCTCTGAAAGCGTTGTTGTGGGGAAATGGTATTGCCCTTTCATCTTTATCAAAGATGGAAATTTGAGAGATCAAACGAAAAGATCAATGTTTTATGAGATGACACTTGAGCAAAGATGGGAGCAGATTTTCGCATCTGAGAATAATTCCAGTGAAGGAAACAGTGTGTTTATCGACGTTGCTGTTCAAACAGAAGTTGTCTCGGTTGTTGCTGGCAAGGAAACCGTGTGGAATGAGAGAGAGGTGGTCGATGGGGCGATATGGTTCAGGAGTTTTGGCAAAGTAGGAGAGGGAGTAAGTGTGGGATTAAGGGTAGAAATTGTTGAGAGAATGAAATGGGAGCAAGAAAGAGCAGGCTGGGTTGGTGGGGAAGACAGGCAAGCAAGGGTGAAGAGAGTGGAGGAGTTTGGAGGCATTGGTGGATGGAGAAAATTTGGATGCTATGTGTTGGTTGAAAGGTTTGTGTTGAAAAGAATGGATGGAAGCTTGGTGACGACTTGTGATTTCAAGCACACTCATCAGATCAAAAGCAAATGGGAATGAAGTTATGTGTTATCATGTTTCATACATATTCAAAAGCTCTTTGTGTGTTTTGTTTAGGGAATGTCAATGTTTTAGAGGCCTTGTTCTGGTTTTACTTCAATTTTCAGTTCACTTATTTAAGATGAGATTATGACAATCTGTCATTATTTCATTTTTTTTTTCTTCGTAGTGTTTGCTTCAGAAACACTAAGTTGGTCATATAGCCCTGTGATCCTAGGTCAATGGCTATGTAACCGATAGGGAACAATATGTTTTATACTATATAATGGTGTAATCTTTTGTCGTTTGACCTTGACGCATGAAAATTGTGAAGTTGTTTAGTTCATGTTTTTCTTTCTTTTTTGCATTTGAATAGAAGCATTGCTTCTCGAATCATTTAATCAGCTTGTCCATTCGACCAGGGAGAAAAGGTCTAATTCGCTGTCTAGTCCGTTATTACACCTAGGCTATAGATTTTGGGGAAAAAAGGATTAATTCGCTGAAGCGTTTATGTTATAGATTTTAAGGAAAAAAAGGTTCACGAATTTAATACATAATATATTTATATTCAAAACGGATCACGTGCAACGTACATGTATAATAACTAATACATGTAAGTGTACATAAAACATATGATGAAATTGAATGATTATTGGAGAAAATTATAATAAAAATTAGATGTTATTTGCTAAAATACAACTTGAGAGATTTATTTGGAACAAAAATAGGTTTTTGGGATTGAATATCCGATTCTTAACAAATTGGAATATGAATTATGAAAAAAAAAAACAACGAATTGGTATCTAAACATTTTAATAGGATTTAGATTGAAATCCAATCCAAACTCGATCTCTCGAGAGGCCTAGTGAGCATGCACCAATCACATTCCCTTAGCCTCCATGAAACATCCATGAAGGACCTCTGATATTAACATAAACATTCATTTCCCTTAGCTACCTGCCTCAAACAGATGTGCCGTAGCTGATATGACCTAAAGCATAACTTCCTTGATATTTCAAGTAGGCCGTCAACCCTCTCTAGTGAGATGTTTTTGTGTCGATGATTAACGGATTCGTGCTAAAAAATATTTAATTGATACTTAATTCGTTTATTAATTCATATCTAACGAATTATATTATTTCGAATTCGTATCGTGTATGAACTGTGTGTAATTGATATACAAATGAGTCGTATTGTGTATTTTTTGATTGATTTCATGCATACCCGATTCATTTATTAATTGTATCATGTTAAATTCACTCATTTATTAAATGGATGACTTAAGTAAGACTCAAACCCTCTAAATTATGTTAACGAACTGTATCATATTTTGACACCCACAATTTCAAGTACCTCGTCAACTTATAATCAACAAAATAAGAGGTTGTCACGTGACACCTATAATTCCTTGGACTGATGAAACATCAAGGAAGAACCCATGAATATCCTTTGAAGCAGTCATTTTCTTTATCTTGCACGTAAGCGTAAGTATCTGAATTTTATAAAACGATTGAACATTTAGAAAAGTCTGAGTTGAATTCAACTTTGATGTTATTAAATAAGTAAGGCAATGTCTTCCTAGTTCCTATTTATCTAGACTAATTATTTTTCACACAACCTGCAAATTTGATTTAAAAGCAACACAAAGTTTCGAAGTATAGGTTTGTGCCAAACCCACCTAATAAATAAGTTGTCACAACTCAAATATAAACAATATGACACGACAAGAATCTGACTATATGTTTGTAATCAGCTCTATGTGAATAGAACGCAATTTAGATAACATGAGCGGGTCTTTGCCAACCACGGTTATACTTTGAAATATAACTGATAATCAAGTCGAATTTTGTGAGCTCGAACCAAGCCTGTTGAGCTTATTTTTTTAAAAGAATCTAAAAAATTATTTAATTTCGACTCATTTATAACACGATCCAAACTCGAATCGAGTCCAATCTGAGCCGAGCCGAGCCCAAGCTAAACCCGAAAGCCATATGGTGCAGAGCACAAAAGTTTTTTGGTGGTCAAAATCCCTGAATTATCTACAAGGTGGTATCCTGATTCTGGTGCTGCCACAAATATGGTGTACCTGATATACTCTAGAGCAAAATTTCCTAGATGTTTGAAATGAACTTGACTATTTAGAAAAAAAACAAGAACTTGTCAGCTACAGTTCCTCAGCCTGATGAAACATACAGGGAGAACCTATGAATATCCTTTGAAGCAGTCATTTTCTTTAGCTTGCAGGTATGGACTATGTACAATTCTCTGAATTTTCTAAATGCATGCACATATGCAAAAGTCATAGATGATGTAACTTTGACGTTACAAAATATAATATGCAGTCAAGGATTACAAAAATTGACAAGATCGTTAGGAACTAAATTTAAATTATCCATTGCTTAGAATGATTAACACGTTGACAAGTCAGAAACCGTGTTCAAGTTGTCTAAGCTTAAGCTATTTTAATTCAATTTTTTTGCTTATGTATATACACATCTCTGATAAGAATAGCAAGAAGGGAAATAAACAGTGTGGGATAAGAAAGGTTTTGATCAATATGTATGTGACAAGGCCTCTCTCTCACTACATAAGCTTTCCAGAATCTCTTTCATTACCCCCTGAAGGTCCCAATTCTGGTTATTTAGTAATACAAGATGAAGAATCTGAGACATATACATGTTTTGGATTGTGCAAGGACCGCTTCCTTGCAGATCTGCCGTTCCCTCAGAACAAGGATCTAACCCTTCGATATTCATCAGGGGCAGGCGAGAACCAGAGTGTATCTCGTGATGATGTTTCCTTCATTCCAGTCCTTAATCTGCCATTGTCTTCTAATCGTTATTACGCGATAAAGCCTCATGGAAATCATAAAGGGTAAGCATGCTTCACTAGATTAACTAAGTTTTCTTCTTCTTCTTTTTAAGCAGTTGGCTATATGATCGACCCATTTTTCCTTGGTATCATTCAATTGATATATGTTTGTATTCATAATACAGTGTAACATAAAGGTTTCAGCATGATAGACCAGATTAATTGTCCATTCATGATCTTAGCAGGAGTATAAAACATCCCACTCTGCAGAAAATAAGTTTTTAAGGGACTGAATTGCTATTTATGGTGTATACTATTACAAGTCTCTTATTAAATTTTCCCTTCAAAAATTTTTTAGAGGGCCAATAATCAGATAACTGTTTTACTTCCCTGGATAGACATTGACAAGCTTTGCTGAAATACCGTTTATTCAACTGTCTTTAGGGAAGCATATGCTTCTTCGAGGGAAGAAGACACGGTCACTTGTTGTTTTGGACTAAGCAGCCGTGATGTAAAATCAAGGCCACTGGATCCACACGACACATATCAGCAATTTGAGATTGCTCTTTATGAAACATGTTGCAATCCCAATGGCAATTTTTTTGCCAAGTCAGTAGCACCTGATGGTTTCCCTCCATACATCTTGAGGAGAAAAGGGTGGCAAGTCTATGGCAAAACTCCCAAAGACTACGAATTAGGAGAAGCTTCAGGCCTTAATTCTGCCCTCCGTGCACGCCTTCCTGAATTTAACTTCCCAATGTCCTACAAGAGCTCTGAAGGTGTCGTTGTAGGCAAGTGGTATTGTCCCTTTGTCTTCATCAAGGATGGACCATTGAGAGATCAGATGAAAAGATCGATGTTTTATGAGATGACACTCGAGCAAAGATGGGAGCAGATTTTTGCATCTGAGAATAATTCTAGTGAAGGAAACAGTGTGTTTGTTGATTTTGCTGTTCAAACAGAAGTTGTCTTGGTTGCTGGCAAGGAAGCCGTGTGGAATGAAAGAGATGTGGTCGATGGGGCGATATGGTTCACAAGTTTTGGCAATGTAGGAGAAGGAGTAAGTGTGGGATTAAGGGTAGAAATTGTTGAGAGAATGAAATGGGAGCAAGGAAGAGCAGGCTGGGTTGGTGGGGAGGATAGGCTAGCCAGTGTGAAGAGAGTGGAGGAGTTTGGAGGCATTGGTGGATGGAGAAAATTTGGATGCTATGTGTTGGTTGAGAGGTTTGTGTTGAAAAGAATGGATGGAAGCTTGGTGATGACTTATGATTTCAAGCACACTCATCATATCAAAAGCAAATGGGAATGAGATATTATGTTATTCTGTGTTATAAGTATATCCACTGTAGTTTGTGTATTTATGAAGAATAAAACTATGCTTTTTTTTTTTTTCTAAAATTTGATTTATTAGATTGCATATTCACTGTATCAATATGTTCAGTTCTACCATTGATTAAAATTGCGGGCGGTGCATCACGGTTATCAATGTTTTAGATGATTTGTTATGCTTTTTTTTGTCTATTTTTTCTTTTTCTACTTTTTTTTTAGTTCAACAGTCGGAACTGTCCAAGCAGGTTATGCACACCTCGACTAATCCCCTCCTCAATCCGACCGAAAGCAAGTCATCCACATCGAGATTAGAGTATTTATGAAGGATAAATCTGTTATGCCATGAGTCTCAGGGATTGTTAAGATTCGAACTCAGAATATTTGGATTTGATCGTTCGTCCATATTACCACTTAAATTACCCTTGCAAATTAGATAAGATTTTAATTAAACTTTCTTTTGAGTGTTAATTCATGTCGTGTTGTAAGTTATGTCTGGACTTACACACCTAAATATTTTTTTTTTATCAAAGTTCTTTGGTAGAAAATTAAATGCCTCTCGATCTCAAATCTTTGATTTTTCTAGCTTTAAGCGGTGAGATTTTGGGACATCACAATTATAGTGGTGTGAATTGTGTCATGTTGGGTCGGGTCGGATCATGTCATTTTTTAATATCGTGCCAATATTTATCTCAATAAAAAAATATTTAATTTTACAACAACTCATATAATACTATTTAAAAAATTAAAAAAAAAGTTATAAAATACTTATCTTTTTGTCTATAATACTCTTTAGTATTTATTTTTTTATCCATAGTATCCGATAACTTTAATTTGATTAATTTATTACTTATTTTATTTTTGAATTTTATGTCGATCAATTAATCGATAAAATTGATGCCCCGTAATTACGAATGTGAATGCTGGTTTGGGGAGTCTGATTAGGGGTGAGATTTGCAGTATTGGATTCACATAGTATTGCAGTGATAAGACACGAAGGGCAGGAAGGGCCACCAAGTTTTTTTTTTTGGAGTCTGACAAGGTAGAAAAACACAAACAATTCTCTCCAATTTCTGTGTCTTAAATTATTATTACTATTAATTTTTTTATTATATATATCTAAATTTGCACCGACTATTCTCTAAATTTTAACTAAAAAATTTAAGGAGTTTTAGTCCATATATCACTCCCAAAAATACAGTCATGAACAAAATTTCTTGGGGGCAGGAAAGTGCCGAAGGTTAATTTTCTAGATTATTATTTTTGGAAACCGAAAGTGAATCATTGAATACATTATCCAACTAAAAATCTATAAATTTTATCTTTTTTTTTGGTCAATTGATAAATTTTCTCAATAGTCCGTTTATTTATATGTTTCTTGTTGCCTTGCTAGTTGGTATAGTTATATAAATCCCTCCATAGGGGGGAGGGGGGGTATAGTGCCAAAAAATAATTCAAACCATTAATTTTAATTTAAATGTTCTTGAATTATGGATAAAAGATAAAAAAAATAAAAAATATATATGTAACACATTTCTTTCTTATTAATTAAAAATAAAAATATATTTCGATACCATAGCACTCTTTTTAACTGTTACTCTATTATATCATATTTGATAAATAAGAAAAATAAGAATGATGAAAAATGGATGAATTAAATTTATTTCTAACTCACCCAAATCAATCCCTCCAAAATCAGAAGAAAAGTAGATGAAAAATTAATTATTTGTGTTGAGATGAATCTTATTTGTCTATATATATATTTATATATACATATATATTATATAGACATTAATTTCATATAAAAATACAATAATAAAATATGCATTTATATATATATATATATATATATATATATATATTTTAAATATAAAATATAAAAATAAAAATAAAAAATTTAAATTAAAAAATATTTTTTCCATCTTAATTAGGGATGAAATTTTTTGACTCAACAAGATGATACGATTCGACCTCGACACGAATTTTATGACACGAACTTGATTAACTCAAACACGAAAATAAACAAGNTTTTTTATTTTATTTTTTTTAAATATAAAATATAAAAATAAAAATAAAAATAAAAAATTTAAATTAAAAAATATTTTTTCCATCTTAATTAAGGATGAAATTTTTTGACTCAACAAAATGATACGATTCGAACTCGACACGAATTTTATGACACGAACTTGATTAACTCAAACACGAAAATAAACAAGTCAACTCGTAACTCAACACGACACAATTAGTTAAATAAGTTGAGTTAGACGTGACTAATATTAAATGCAAACCCGTAATGACTCAACACAAATTTGACACAATTCAATTGTCACTCCTAATATTAGGCAGCAGAAACAAAAAAATAGTCATTTTTATTTTTCAGCCATCCAATTAAACAAAAAAAAAATATTATTTATATTTTACTTATTTAAAGGAAATNCGGCACAAACAAAAAAATAGTCATTTTTATTTTTCATCCATCCAATTAAACAAAAAAAAAATATTATTTATATTTTACTTATTTAAAGGAAATAAAATATATTCCTCCTATTTTCTTATCCTTTTTTATTTTTCCTACCGAACGGATCAATAAAACATCAGTGGGCGGGTTGCAACATACTGGCGTCTGGATCATTCTGAACCCGGTCAGACCCATCGCTACTACAAATAACTCTCGTCAAAACCCTAACGCCTATATTTCTACACACACTCTCTCTCTGGCATTTGCGATTAAACTCTCCCGAGAGCGCGAAAAACAGTGGAAAAGCGCTTTCCCTCTTGTAGGTGGATTGCAGTATTATCTAATGTCAATCATGGTGGATCAAGATCAGCAATGGCTAATCAATTGCTTGACTGCCACTCTTGACACTAATCACCAAGTTCGATCCTTCGCCGAAGCCTCTTTGAATCAAGCCTCTCTTCAACCAGGTCCTTGATTCTCTCTTTCTCGGCTGTTTTGAATTTTGGTCGTATCCATACTGTTGGGAGTCTCGTGCACTGGCCTAAAAGGGCCGCCTTTTTTTGAGGATGATAAATATCGATATGAAGATGCGAAACTGAGTCGCCGATCAAACGAATCGAATGTGATGATGCACAATGACTGAAACAATATGAAAGATTGTAACCCCTTACTCTCGAACTAACAGTCACTCTTACTAGTATTACCAAGTTATGCAGTCTTATGTAACGAGGGAATTAATGATTAGTGTCAATCACTCACTGATAAAGTTGAGAATTTTCTGACTGCTTTCCTAATAAGTTTTACATTATGCAGCCTGAAAGTGACGTTTTTTTTTTTTTATGGAGTGAAGTTTTGATTGTGGTTAATTAGTCTCGGGATGTTTATATTCTGTTTGCTCATGTTTTTGTTTATGCACACCAACTTTTTGCATCCCACTTTCCACCTTGTCTATGTTGCATTATTTGTTGAAATCTCCGATTGATGGCTGACATACATTTTCAAGCACCCTGCTTGCTCTAATGCAAAGAGTTCAATGTAAGCCCATTTGCTTTCACAGTGTCTCAAGGATGAGAACTGTTTTTAGTATACAGAATCTAAGATTTTATTACTAATTCTCTGATTGTTTGAAGGTTTTGGAGCTGCTTTATTGAAGGTTGCTGCAAACAGGGAGCTTCCACTGGGATCGCGTCAGATATCCTTTTGTCGTTGTTGAAAATCATTTGTCCATTCATTTTCTCCTTAAAAAGCATAAAACAATGATAGGTTGACAAGCTTGGTCCTAAAAGTCTTCTAACACAACAATCACATGAAGCCACATGTGCTTCTTAAAGCTTGGAACGTACATATGTTATGTTGAAATTCTTTCTTGGCTTCACTTGATTTTTGTGGTTACTAATTTTGGTAGCGTATGAAGGAAAAATAAGTAGGGTATTTGCATGTTACGTTCTTTTTCTGGATTTTAATTAAAGAACAACATGTTAGAATGTTAGAATGATTGTTTTAGAAAATTGATTTGCCTCTTTTGTCTTTTCCTTGTAAGATTTAACTTGCTTTTACCTAGCTGCCGTTCTTTTGAAGCAGTTCATTAAGAGACACTGGCAGGAGGATGAGGAATCTTTTGAACATCCTGTTGTTTCTAGTGATGAAAAGGTCTTTTAAACCTTCCATTCTTCACCAATTTTCTTTTCAGAATGCACTCTAGTTCTAAACACTGGAGGTTTATTATATTTTTTTCCATATATGGAAGTTATAAAGGGTTTCTTTTTCAGTGAGGCCATTAGTAATTTAGTAGATTGTGCTTTGACATTAATTTCTCTATCCTTTTTTTTTTGTTTGGGCATATTTTTGTATAGTTCTATGCATTTTCCTTCTTAGAATTATGTCTCTCAGACCAAGTGATCTGGTTAGTAGACACAAGCCAATAAACAATTGTAAAAGTCCTGTCTTCAATGATGAGATCAGTGTGCAAAATTAGGAGTAGGTTTTGTAATGGCACATACTACCGGAACTTATGACAAACAATATGGTTATTGATTTTGGTTTGAGAATAGAGGTAAATGTTATCAAATGTGGAGAAATAAAAATTTGTAAGGCCATACAATGATGTGCAATCTGGATAGTGAAAGACAATGGAACGAAAACAACTCAACTTCAATATCTGCAAAACTCACTGCAACCCTGGACTCAAGATTCCAAATCCAAAGGACACATGATAGCAACTCAAAGAGAGTAAAATTAAGTCTAACTGTTCTATAGTCACCAACAAGAAATTTCTCATGTATTGACCATATAGCAAAAGTCCAAGTGTCAAAATGTCCCCCTACAAATCTCAATTGAACCTTGTACATAATTCAAACAATGATGCGGCCCATGAACGATGCTTCACTAAGGCTTTACTCAAGGATTATAGTTTTTGCTTTGATAGCAAAGTCAGCTTGCAGAAGAGGAATAGTACAACTGTTAGTCTCTAAAATCCCCTCGGTGGCTATTAGCCCATGCTTCCTAAGATAGCTATCATCTAAATTGAAATTGTTCCTCTTCCTTGTTCTATTTTGTGCCTCTATAGCAACTCCAAATTGATGCCCTATGATCCCAACACTTAACCTTAACTAACCTTCTCTTTGAGGCTTGCACAGCCAATACCAATCGATGAAATCATCCCACTTGGCTAGGAATGTATATTGGTTCCAAAGGGAGCTAAAAAAACCCAAAATCCACAACATAATTTTTTTTAATAGCAAACATAATCGATTGATACATATAGCAAAGTAGTATATAATTTGAAGTAAAGATGGACAAGTTGTCCAACTTGATAACAAAACAATATTTAAACAATGCATGGCACCACTTGATTGGAACTTATGACCACACTATGTATGAAGTGCGGACACTCAAGAATGTGATGTATCCGTGTTGGACACCGATATTCTTCGGACATTTCATACACGTGTCCGATACTCTTTTATCCGTATTCATAAGTAAAGGATAATATTTTAATTTAGGACACGTGTCTGACACTTTTTTGGTGATATGTTCGACACTTCTTTAGAATGAGTATTACTAAACCATAAACATGTGTTGAAATATGATTAACAAATCTTAAAAATTNCTGATATTCTTCGGACATTTCAAACACGTGTCCGATACTCTTTTATCTGTATTCATAAGTAAAGGATAATATTTTAATTTAGGACACGTATCTGACACTTTTTTGGTGATATGTTCGACACTTCTTTAGAACGAGTATTACTAAACCATAAACATGTGTTGAAATATGATTAACAAATCTTAAAAATTTGAGAAAATATAATTACTAGCACTAGGTATGTTAAAGTTGTACTTCAAATATAATAATAAAAACAAAAGATGCATAAAAGTTTTAAAAAAGAGGAATTAAGAAAATGAGAGTAATTATTTAAATGCTTTAGTCTAAAAATTCCCACAAGTGACTAGGCATAAGATTTTCTTATCATAAATACTGATTCTTTTATAAATTGTATATCATTATCACTATATTTGATATAAATTATATAATTTTATATATAAAATATAATTTTTTGTAGTGTGACTCTAATGTTTCCGTATCCTATTTTTTTGAAATGTTCTGTCTCCTTGTTTGTGCTTTGATGTCTGTGTGTCCGTGTCTGTGCTTCTTCGACGCTTTCCAACTTGTTATAATGCACAAGGAAAAGGAATACTTTGAAAAGAGGCCTAAAATGATGCTAAAAGAAATAGATTCAATCTCATAATCCTTATACCACCTCACTTTTATCCTCAAAACCACAACATAAGTTGCCTCCCAAGCTTTTCAAAAAGTCTAAACAATGTTAGAAAAAATAAACCTTCTCAAGAACTGATTACACGATCTCAAAAGATTCAGAGGTAGGCCTTATTACTTCTTATATTACTTTTCAATTTTAGTGACTTCAAAACCACATCAATGTTCCTAGTTTATATTCATGTGAAGTTTGATGATACAATCGTTTATAGTTATCTGCAGAATGCAGTTATAATTTCTAGATAAATACTGACCTACATCACATCTATCTTCATTTGTTGACTGTACTTGGCCAATACTGATGCGGGGGGAATCTTGTCTACATTTTGAGCTCTGTATGCATGATTAGAACCTTTGCTTATTTTTTTTTTGTTTTACCAAATGATGCCACATAATTGTATGTCTATTATTTTTCAAAAACCCATTTTAGAGGCTTATGCTTTATCCTTTCAACTTTTTGGCTTCTCCAGCATATTCTATGCATTTTTTCTCCTATTTGTTAATAACCCCATATGTTGGCACTTACACTTATGTAAGTTAATTTTGTTCCTGAGTTTTTTACTTGTGACCCTACATTTTTTCTCATAAAATACTATCTTTTTGTTTGAACTCTGCATATTCCTAATTTAAATGTGGCCATTTTTTCAGGCAACTATACGTAGACTTCTTTTGTCATCATTGGATGATTCTCATCGAAAAATCTGCACAGCGATTAGTATGGCTGTGGCATCCATTGCACATTATGACTGGCCAGAGGATTGGCCTGACCTACTGCCATTCCTCCTGAAGCTGATTAGCAACCAAACCAATACGAATGGAGGTAGGAATTTGGTAGCTTTTATGTTTCTCTATTGAAATATTATATCCCATTCGTGATTGGGGTTCTCACAACTATGATGTTAGTGCTAAGTTGCCATGCCATAACTTCCTGAAGTTGTTGCTTGATGAGCCTATTGTCACGTTGATGGTGGGAATACGAATCTAAATGTTATCCTCTGATTGTGCAGTTCATGGGGCTCTAAGATGCTTGGCTCTTCTTTCCGCGGATTTAGATGATATGGTGGTGCCAACCATAGTGCCTGCTTTGTTCCCATGCTTGCATTCAATCGTGTCATCTCCTCAGGTTAATTTTCTTATATTATCTTGTGCTTTTGTTTTCACCTCTTGATAACAAATATACTGTTTTTCTTTTTCATAAGCCAGATTCCTGGAATTTGATTGATTGCAGAAGAGATTTTCTTGTAAAAATAAAACAAAAACCTTCAGACTATTGTTTTCATACCCACATTGTTTAGATTAGCTTCTTTTCACTTCACTCTCTCACTGTTGCGTGACTCAACGATGCAGATCTATGAAAAACCATTGCGCACAAAGGCTCTTTCAATAGTTTATTCTTGTACTTCCATTCTGGGGGTAATGAGTGGTGTATATAAGGTATGTTCTTGACACAAGATGTGGAAAGTTTGTGAAATCTGGGGTGGTTGAAGTTTATCTCTCTCTATAACAAAATGCTTAATTAGGAATCTCTACGTACAGAGAGAAACAAGTGCATTGATGTTACCCATGATTCAACTTTGGATGGATCAATTCTCCTCCATCTTAGAAAATCCTGTACAATCCGAAGATCCTGATGATTGGAGCATCAGAATGGAGGTAGGGCTGTGCTCTGGATTATCAAGATGTCGTGCTATCATGTGGAAGTTCGATTGAGAAACCTTGTGATATCTTTTACTCTCTTGGCCATCAGGTTTTAAAATGCTTGAATCAATTTGTCCAGAACTTTCCAAGCCTTACTGAAACTCAGTTTATGGGTTAGTTTGTTGCTTCAACTTATTCAGGATGAAGCTTATTTTCATTTTATGCTGATTGATCTTTTCATCCATATTTTGTCTCTCTACATTTCTATGTTATTACAGTTATTGTTGGGCCATTGTGGCAGACATTCATATCATCTCTTGGAGTGTATGAACGATCATCAATTGAAGGTATGGAAGATCCTTATGATGGAAGGTATGATTCTGATGGTACAGAGCAAAGCCTTGAGACCTTTGTCATCCAGGTTAAACAGAAGCCCTTTACACTTGCTGATCTTGGTTTTTCCTTTTATAGCATGGAAATCTAGGAAGCACGGATACGACAAAGTTCAAAAATATAGGACATGGGTGTATAGCGGGAATACGGCTATTAAAATAATATAATATGTTTTTTAAATAATAAGAGAGTTGTAATNCTTTTTATAGCATGGAAATCTAGGAAGCACGGATACGACAAAGTTCAAAAATATAGGACATGGGTGTATAGCGAGAATACGGCTATTAAAATAATATAATATGTTTTTTAAATAATAAGAGAGTTGTAATATATTAATAATAAATCATATATTATACCAATATTAATTATAAGACCTAGCAAATATTAATTTTCTAATTAAAATTGAAATACATTAAAATAAATATCTATCATTTCAATCATACATCATTACATCCATTGACATTCATAGTATAGAATTTTAATAACAAAAATTATATTAAAAAAAATAGAAATAGCACCTCTGTGAATAGTCAACAATAATTTTTTTTTTTAAATTTCTCGCCGTATCGTAGCCGTGTCTTAGACGTATCCTCACTGTCACACCGTGTCCTGGACATATGTTGGCCATGTCCGAATGGTTTCACTATTTAGGACACTTCTAGCCATGTTCGACACTACCATGGCACTCCGTGCTTTCTAGATGAAAATTTATTAGTAACGCCAGGTGACAAAGCATAGTATTCAGAACTGTTCTACCTGGTGGCTTTTTAGCAAAAGTAGAACATACGTTTTTCATCAAAGAGATGATATCCATGCATTACATTTTCTTTAATGCTATCTATAAAGATTAGGTGCAATCCTAAAGATTACAGATAGTTATACTTCTAAAGACGTCCTTGGACTCCCCACAAGTTTTATTATGTGTCCCGGGCACGTGTGTGTGCGCACTTAAGTGTGTGCACCTGCATCTTGAACTCATTTTGATTTTGGCATTCAAAATTTTCTTATATCTGATCTTGCAGCTGTTTGAGTTTCTCTTGACCATTGTGGGTAGCACAAAATTTGTAAAGGTTTGTGTTGAAATCCTATTTTCAATTTTATATTGCAAATCTGCCTTTCCATATTATAATGTCATGTGACGTACTGAATTTGTTTACATATTTTTGATATTTTTCATGTAGGTTGTTGCAAATAATGTTAAAGAATTGGTGTATTATACTATTGCTTTTCTGCAGATGACAGAACAACAGGTATTATTTATTTGTTCACTTTGATTTTTCCATGTTTTATGAAAGCCATGATTTGTGATGGGCATTATTTTTTTTCCAGGTGTCAGTTTCATGCTTTTCTGCTATCAGTTATAACTGCTGTTTTATGAATTATAGCCAAGTAGTCAGTATGATTTAAGTGTGTATTTACCAGATTTTCTGTTATTAACGAGTTGGGCAAAGTTATGCCTGTTATAGTATTCATATTGGAACCCGATCGAACTAGCACATAATTAATTGGTTGGGACATCTAGTGAATTTGTATCCCCAGCGTGCTTACTAATTCTGGTTTTGTATGATGGATGTACAAACAAGAAGGGCTGGCCCTTCATTCATTTTTTGGTTACTTGGCTCAAATAAAAATCTTTGGAATCAAAGCAAGGATTCCATAAATACTGAACTATTTCTTCTTTCATGGTAAACTAGTATTTGTCTTTTTGGCCTCCATTGATTTCAATCATGAATTAAGCATTGAGCTTGAATATTTGGGTTTTGATGTCGAGATCTGCAAATACAGAAACAGGAGTGGAGTTAACACAGTAAAAAACAGCCTGAATCCTTTTACAAAGTTGACATGAATACTTGAATCGGATGTGAAACAGTCTGATATTCTCTAATTGGCCTATTTCTTACCAAAGTTTTGCACGCTGTTTTTGTACTGCTCTAACTTTGTATGGGTTTCCCTTTAGAGTGAGTGGTGGTGAAAGGTTGCATGAAAAAAAAAGTGTAAGGTGGCTTAGGAGAGAATGGGATGCAGTATAAGCAGGGGAGATCATCAAGATGTTCTTTTTATTACAGATGGTGAAGGATTTTTGTAATTTGATCCAGAGATGCGGTGCTACAATGAAAAGTTGTTACAAAGGATGAGTATGACCCATGTTTTACATTTGGGAATGCAACATTTCCCGCATAGTATATGGATATAGATTGGCTACCACTTATATTTGAAAAAGGTTGGACTACTCTTGTTACGCTAGAACTGTTCACTGCAAGTGATATGTTATGCGCAACTATGCATGTGATTTTTAGAAATTTGAAAATAGGAATATGTTTCTCTCTCTCTTTCTCTCATCATATTATGACATGGGAATTGGATCTAGGTTCATACTTGGTCACAGGATGCTAACCTATATGTCGCTGATGAGGATGACAATACATATAGTTGTCGTGTTTCTGGTAAGTAATCTCTGGAACATGTCAGGAAATTCTCTGTTTGTTTAACTCTCTCTCTCTCNTGTTGTGTTGCCGCATTGCATTGCAAGTGCTTATAGGGAGAACTGTCTGCCTGCCATGGTGCACTGAAGCTGAATTGATGCAATACTTATATAATACCTTACATTGTGCATCACTTCATTGACCCTGTGCAATACTTGTGCAATAACGTATTATTTGTATGATTACATTAACTCCTCCTCATTGACTTGAAAATGTGTTGAACTTGTGCAACTGACTTGTGGAGGGTCATTTAAAAAAATATTTTGCGGCTTTAATGCGGCATGACATTGTATTGCTAGTGGCAAGTGCTTATAGGACATGGTTTAAGGTCGTGGTATCAACCATCAACTCGAAGAGTTTTGAGACACATTGGTCGCGACACAATATCAGGTGATATTGACCTAAAAAAAATGTTGAACATGACGAGAAATTTAGGACATACTGTGGCGTCGCGGAATCGTATTAGCTGATTTGGTGACGATAACTTGGCAACTCGTGATTGACTTGNCTGGTTCTAATGTCAATGATTGGACTATGTCAAATAAGTTTGAAACAGATCATAAGTATATGCTATCATGTGATTCTGTTGAGATGATAGTATAACAATTTCCGGTGCTAATTTTGGTTATGGTAGTTATATTTTCTTCTTTGGATGTACTTTCTGGTTTAGGTCAGCAAATTTCGTTCTTATTTTCTAGACTCCATGCAGTGGTGTTTCTGGTTATGATCATGATATCTCATGTCCTCGGATGCGCATTCTTGTTTAGTTATTTGCTGGTGGCTCCTAGATATTTTATAGAACTTTTGCCAATATGGGATTTTTTTGGCAGGTGCACTTCTACTGGAAGAGGTCATTAATTCTTATGGTGCGGGTGGAATTGATGCTATAATTGATGCTGCAAAAAATCGATTTAGTGAGTCTCAACAACAGAAGGCTGCTGGTTCTGCTAGCTGGTGGCGAGTATGTTTACAAAAATAGTTTGACATCTATTTGAAACAATTTTATTTGTTGTGTTGCCGCATTGCATTGCAAGTGCTTATAGGGAGAACTGTCTGCCTGCCATGGTGCACTGAAGCTGAATTGATGCAATACTTATATAATACCTTACATTGTGCATCACTTCATTGACCCTGTGCAATACTTGTGCAATAACGTATTATTTGTATGATTACATTAACTCCTCCTCATTGACTTGAAAATGTGTTGAACTTGTGCAACTGACTTGTGGAGGGTCATTTAAAAAAATATTTTGCGGCTTTAATGCGGCATGACATTGTATTGCTAGTGGCAAGTGCTTATAGGACATGGTTTAAGGTCGTGGTATCAGCCATCAACTCGAAGAGTTTTGAGACACATTGGTCGCGACACAATATCAGGTGATATTGACCTAAAAAAAATGTTGAACATGACGAGAAATTTAGGACATACTGTGGCGTCGCGGAATCGTATTAGCTGATTTGGTGACGATAACTTGGCAACTCGTGATTGACTTGGATAAAATTCAACCAACTCGGCCGAGTCATCTCGAGATTCGGGGTTTATACGTATCGTGTAATGGTATTGTTTCGGGAGGCGCCGAATTGTATCCGACTCGGCCAACTTGTATCGGTATCAGCCGATACTTTGAACCATGTTATAGGGTGGCACTTAATGTAACTACATTAACTCGTCATGAATTACTTGAACATGGAACACATTCTTTTAATATTACACATGAATGAGCCNAGCCATCAACTCGAAGAGTTTTGAGACACATTGGTCGCGACACAATATCAGGTGATATTGACCTAAAAATGTTGAACATGACGAGAAATTTAGGACATACTATGGCGTTGCGGAATCGTATTAGCTGATTTGGTGACGATAACTTGGCAACTCGTGATTGACTTGGATAAAATTCAACCAACTCGGCCGAGTCATCTCGAGATTCGGGGTTTATACGTATCGTGTAATGGTATTGTTTCAGGAGGCGCCGAATTGTATCCGACTCGGCCAACTTGTATCGGTATCAGCCGATACTTTGAAACATGTTATAGGGTGGCACTTAATGTAACTACATTAACTTGTCATGAATTACTTGAACATGGAACACATTCTTTTAATATTACACATGAATGAGCCGCATAATAGATTCCATTGTGACAACGTTTGTTGGCTGACAAGAACAACAACAATGTGCAAATTTTAGGAAATAGATTCTCAAATAGGGGTTTCTATGGTTTTGAGGCTTCCATTGGGTGTAACCGTTGAAAACAAAGGAATTTCACCTTAGAGAGGAATAATATTTTAATTGTCTATGTTAGTGGATATAAATTCATCTTTATAGAATGAAGCTAAAGTAGAGTGTTAACTTAGATTGCAAATTTTGAAGAATTTTGTTTCAGAATCCTTGGCGCATAACAGGGTAGTAGTGCTGGAGTTGGTCAACCACATAGCCCCCATAATGCCTTATAGAATTAAAACGGGATAAGTTTAGCGTTCTAACATTCTATTTTAACTTCTCATATTTGTTTTTACCACATTCCCCTGTTAATTGACATTAGTTGGGTGTTTGCAAAATAGGAGGCATTTTATGTTGAGGAGGTTTTGTTTTGTGTTTTGTAATTTTTTCATATATTAACTTCGAGGTTTTCTTTCTAACTCAGCTTTGAAAAGAATATTTTGGCAGATAAGGGAGGCCACTCTTTTTGCTTTGGCTTCTGTGTCAGAACAATTGCTTGAAGTAGAGGTCTGTGCTTTATTCAAAATAACTCTTATCAGGCAAAATATTTTCAAGACGTATGTGCTGAATGACAGGATAATGGTGGAGTTTTCATGAGCAATATCATGTGCTGCCCACTTTGGAAAATTTATGTATTTCATCTCACTCTGGAAAATTTCTGGAGTATCTTCAGTTAGTGTTGTTTAACCCTGCAGGTTTCTGGTCTTGTCAGGGTCAGTTTAGGGAACCTTTTAGAGCAAATAGTTACCGAAGACATGGCAACAGGTAGCTTCTGTTTTTTAGAGTTCATTCAGATTGTTGATTCCTTCATGAATGGGTTTTCTTGTCTATTGTGCAGGGGTACATGAATATCCCTTTCTTTATGCTCGTATGTTTTCATCAGTTGCCAAATTTTCCTCCGTGGTAACTTTTTCTATCACTAATAATTTATGCCACTAATAGTCCCCTTAGGCCAAAACGATCCCATTCAGTTTGTAATCATTTTCACAGATCAACCAGCGGGTCATTCAGAATTTTCTATATGCCGCTATCACCGCGATTGGCATGGATGTGTATGTGTCTATCTCTATGTTGTTATCCTTCTGTCAGGTCTAGATTGATTCTATTAGTGATAATGTTCTGTTTATAGGGGCCCACCTGTGAAAGTAGGCATCTGTCAAGCACTTTCACGGCTCTTACCTGATGCAGACCGAGGAATACTTCAGCTTCATTTGTTGGGTTTATTTTCATCACTTGCAAACCTTCTTAATCATGTAATGTGACAGTACAAAAAGTTCCCTTGTTCACCATAGTGCGAGTCAGTTCCAAAAAAAAAAACATTGTGGGAGTTATTTCTGATGGTTGCTGTCTTCCTAGGCATCTGATGAAACCATGCATCTTGTACTCGAAACACTACAAGCAGCTGTGAAGGCAGGTAGGTATTAATACAATTGGGATCGAGTTTAAATGGTCTTCTAGATTTAATGTAGATTTTATATTTGAGCTTTAGCTGCTGTAGCATCTTTTCTTTCTTCTGATTACACATCTTTGGCTCTTTGTTGTGTGTTTTTCTCTTATCATAGGTCATGAAGCATCAGCGTCAATAGAACCCATTATCTCTCCTATTATCCTTAACATCTGGGCTTTGCATGTTTCAGACCCTTTTATTAGCATTGATGCTCTTGAGGTTCTGGAGGTAATAATGCTCTAGGTGGTGTTGGTAGGTGTGATGATATGCTGGCTTACTCAACTGTTTTCCCTTATTGTGGGTCTTATTCATGATGATATCCTTGTGTTACTGAGTGATTAATAGCTACTCAAAGGTGATGGATACCAATGAACATGACATGATGTCATTCTTGTAATCTCAAACTTTATGCTGATTATAAAAATGAATCCTGATTACAACTACCTTCCAGTCGAATTGTTGCTGCAATAAGATTTTTATCCACACAAACTGAAACTAGTTGTTCCTGAAGTGGTGGAAATTCGTAACTCTAAATCTTGATTGTTAACCAGATACCCTTTTTTTTATTTGTCCTTAATAAAAAAAATTTGCTACACGTGTTATTCCAACTTTTGGAAGGTCTGATACATGCCNGAGGAAATTCGTAACTCTAAATCTTGATTGTTAACCAGATACCCTTTTTTTTATTTGTCCTTAATGAGTCCTTGATAAAAAAAATTTGCTACACGTGTTATTCCAACTTTTGGAAGGTCTGATACATGCCATTATAGCCATTCCACTTTTCACTCACTAACCATTTCAGTACAGTAGATTGAACACGGAAAAATGAACTGGAAACCCTAATGTTCTTATTAATTGACTTTCTTTACCAAAAATACTGTCTTAAACAGAAGCTATTTGTGCTTGCTATAAATATAACCAATGTGCATCTGTTGAAATCCATATTTGGTAAGGCTACTTTTTGGGCAATGCCTGGAGACATATTCAGAAAAAGGACTGAATTTTTCACAAAACAATATTTTTTATTTCTTAGATCATGATGGTTGATCCGTAGTAACTTTAGACTGATCCACTATTAAAGATGAGCTAAATATTCCTCTATAAAAAAATCTCATGGTAGCTAGAAAGCCCTTGAACTTTCAAGGCATACAATCCAAAACACATTCTCGAAGTAGAGATTATTTGAATCCTTTACTCTAATGAGGGTAAATCTTTTAACTAGATTCATGGAGATATAGAACAACATATAAGTTATCATGCTTGCATATATATCATTTGAGTCTTCATTCTTCAACAATTAGGTCAGCTCTATTCCATCATTTAACTGGTTACATATCTGGGTTTTTCCTATATCTCTGCAGGCAATCAAAAGTTCTCCGGGTTGTATCCGCCCCCTGGTTTCTCGAGTTTTACCTTATATCCAGCCAATTCTGAATAAAGTATGGCTTGCAAAACAAACTTATTTTAGATTTCATACTATATGTAGCATGGGGGTGATTTTGTCTATCTGTTTCTGATCCATTTGCCGAAACTTGTCAGCCTCAACAGCAGCCAGATGGTCTAGTTGCTGGTTCGTTGGATCTTGTGACAATGTTATTAAAGGCAAGTTATACTATCCATGTTGTTATACATTTTTTTTTAGTCTTCATTTGCCAATTAGCTTGTTACATTCAGGGAGCACTTTTATAATATCGCACATGTTGCTGATCACAGTGTATATTAACATTGTTCAGGGTGCTCCTAGTGATGTGGTAAAAGCGGTGTACGAAGTTTCCTTTGATCCTGTTGTTCAGATAGTCCTTCAAAGTGACGACCACAGTGAAATGCAGGCAATCTTAATTTGCTAATTGCTCAAGCGTCATTGCTATTCTATTTAATGTGCAGTAGCTTTTTCACTCCTTTGGTAGGGAAGTTTGCTAGTTATACGTGAGATTAGCAAAATATCATTTATGTTGCCATTGTGTTCACCAGAATGCAACCCAGTGCTTAGCTTCTCTTGTATCTGGAGGAAAACAAGAATTGCTTGCTTTGGGTGGTGATCCTGGATTTACTATGAGAAGTTTGCTTGATGTAGCTTCAAGGTGCGTTTGCTTTTTCACTTTGATGTTTCATAATATTTTTAGAATGTTGAAAATTTAGTTATTCATATTTGTATCACAACTACTGAGAACGAACTTAATAGGCTCTTGCTATTGTAACCTTCCCATCAAGAAGTACCTTATGATATAGTCATTGCAAGGATGTCAAACCAGTCAAACAGTCCCTTGCATTAGGGATGCAACTGCTAAATTAAAATGTAATTTTCTGCTTCTTGTCAGGATGGGTTTACGGAGTTGTGGTCAGTGCTCAGGTGGGTGTGGGGAGAGAGCGTACTACCTCGTATTATTTTTTCCTTGTGTGCCGTCCACTGTGTGGGGAGGGTGAAGTATACAACTGATGTATGGGAACCAAGCCACAATTCTAATGGATAGTCATTGTGACCCTGGGGTACATAGCAAGAACCATACGATACCCATATGATTTTGATTTCAAATTTTGAAAACACCCAAAAATTTCATCATCTAAAATGGTTTATTGGAACAATGTATTCACATTGTTGCCTAGGATCAGATCTTATTCATAGTCTACTCAGTATGAAGTCCTCACCTTTTAAGTTAAACAGCTCACTATAATTATTTATTATTGTTTCAGTTTCTAGGTTGTAGCTACTGAATTATTTCCAAACTGCACGCAGGCTTTTAGATCCAGATCTGGAAAGTTCTGGATCACTTTTTGTTGGGAGCTACATTTTGCAACTTATATTGCACCTCCCTTCTCAAATGGCACAGCATATAAGGGACCTGGTTGCTGCTCTTGTTAGGCGCATGCAAACGTGTCAAATTGCTGGATTGAGGAGCTCGTTGCTGCTTATTTTTGGTAGATTGGTATATTTCTTCTCCATTTTGATGGATTTGAGACAATTTTCAGTTTTGCAGCTTGAAACGGCTTACCAAGATATGATCTGCTTAATGTTACTGAATCGAAACATTTATTTGTACATAATTGTTACAGCTTGCACCGTTTGTAGGACATACATGTGATGCTGTTACCCGTAAAATTACTTGATGGCTGCTAAGCTGGATTGGTTGATACTACTGTAAATTTTGTGTCCTGATGGAAATTTGTGTTGTCAAAAACTGGAGTTGAGCCTCTGTACCTTTGTACCACAAATCCAAGAAGAGTTGTGGTTCCCTCATACTCCCCCCTCAAATTGTTTGCGTGCATGCTTTTTGGAAGCCATTAAGTCAAGATACCATGCATGTCACCTTGTTCATGTTCATGTTTTACTGATAGACCCATTGACATACTTTCCATCTTAATTCAGGTCCACATGAGTGCTCCACAAGTAGAGCAATTTATTGATTTACTGATCTCATTACCGGCTGATGGCCATGTTAACTCCTTCGTTTATGTAATGTTAGAATGGACAAAGCAGCAAGGCAAGTATCCTTCATTTGAGCTCTTCTTTGTATTTCAGATCTTGTTGAATTGTTTTATCATGTTTACTTACAGTTCATTTTTGTGTGGACTTCTTTTCGGAGAAAAAAGGGATTGTAACTTATATTGTATAGTTTGGTTTTGGTTTTGGTGGTATAGTTTGCTGCATTGTTCTTAGTCTTACTTTACTAAGCAGTTATTGGTTCTTACAAGAACTTATTATTGCTTTTAACATAATACAACAGTATTCACATCACATCACCTAACTGTTCCCACAAATTTTTCTTGCAAAAGTGTTGACAAAAACACAAGAAGTGTTGGTAGCTAACAATATGTGGTGCAGGAATGTGCATATGGTAGGTGCCAACATTCTAGCTACTTTGAGATTTGAATAGTTATCTTATTGCTCTTACAATATTAGGTTCATAACCCTTTCTTTTCAAGAGTCTCGGCAATCTAAAATTTTTTCTTTTGCATTGCCTTGGAGAAGGAACAATGAATCTTCGATTGCAATGTAAGAAGTCGGAGATTCAATAGCTGAAAGTAATGTCATTCCTACGCACACTGGCAAATACGTGTGGATGTGTATATGCTGGAAAAAAAAAATCACTTGTACAAGAAATGTCTAGAATGGTTGTAGTTGAGTCAGTTTTTCGCTGTTATTTTAGAGCTTCAACTTTCATGTACTCAGTTGTCATTATTTTTGTTGTTGGCTTCTCTTTGCATACACACTTAACTCTAAGCTTGTCTAATACAATCATCCCCCCCCTCTCCCCCCTTTTATTTTTCCTCCACCAGCAGAAAAGTTGGGGGTTCTCTGTAACTTTTGAACCTTTAGGAACTTTTTCCCCCAAATGTGGAGTCTTGAATAATTCGAAGATTTGAGTATTTTGAGTGTTTGTACCAAACATAGGGATTTTTCGAGTGATTTACCAGTTGAAGATTTTAATGGTGGTTTGTAATACTTTTATCCCCTGTTGTGTGTTTTTTGCTGAGCACATGGCTTTTCTAAAAACATCATTTAACTTTCGGAATGTACTCCTCCATGAGTCATGATTATTTTTATCGAGTTTCGAGTACCATAGGGTTTATGTAAAATAAAAGGAATGGAGTGTTAGATCATCTAGTTAGTTCCTCATTTTTTATATAGTTTTCCATAAGGTCCTTGTAACGTTGAACATGAAGCCCAATTGATTGACACATCATCTAGTTGCATATTTGTTTTTCATTCCAATATTACTTTAACTTGGCCTGGTTATACTTGCATCAGTGTATCAGACAATTTAGCCATAAAAAAGGATGAAATTCACCTCATTACTTTATTTCAATGCAATTTGGAATCAGGGGAAATTCAGGGGGCCTACCAAATTAAGGTCACGACAACTGCTTTGGCTTTATTGCTGGCGACCAGGCATGTTGAATTAGGAAAGATTAATGTTCAAGGCCATCTAATTAAGGTTTGGTAGTACTTGTCTTTTCAATTCTGTGGGTCACATTGTTTCACGGACCTAATCTGTTTCCTGCTAATTTGAAGTCCACTGCAGGGATAACCACTCGCTCAAAGGCCAAACATGCTCCAGATCAGTGGACACTAATGCTGCTTCCTGCAAAGGTACTTACTGATCTAATTGCCTGCTGAAGATGGTCTTCGGTTAAATAAGTCTGTCAATTGATGGCAATTTCAAACTCAATCATGATCATCCTTTGGCATAGAGCTTGCTGCCATATGGTGATAACTTAATAAATATTGCTGTAGCCAACATAAGTGATCACCTGGTTGTTTTCTATCTGATCATCATTGTTGTGCTTTCAAGCATGGCTGATGTGATATAATCCCTTATTGCATCAGATTATTATTATAGCGAAAAAGAAAGACTAAATTGCTATAACTGCTGATATATGTGTTTTCTAAGTGACTGGACTGAGCTTAACTGATATATTAAATGGTTTGAGAATTCGACAGATACTGGCTATATTAGCGGATTTATTGATTGAGATGCAAGAACAAGTTTTAGCTGCTGCTGATGAGGTAACTATTTTTTAGCTTCTTCTTGCTTTGTGATAACGAATAGCAATGGAAATCTTTAGCTTCCAATGAATTTTGTGCAGGATAGTGAATGGGAAGAAGTTCAGGCAGGAGATGTTGAAACGGGTTGCGAGTTATTATATTCTGCAGGTGCTACGTCAGATAGCAGACCCACGTATGATTACCTTGATGCAATGGCAAGAGCTTTCAATGAGGTTTGAGGAAAAGCTATATTTTTGTTTTAATTTACCCTCTTTTTTTGCCCTCTGCTTAATGGCAATATTTTGTTCTGCATGTGAACTCTTCAAGGATCAAGATGATGGCTATGAAGATGACATACTAAATGGTGCTGACCCTCTTAATGAGGTGTTTTCCCCTTCCCTTTTTGGACAGTTTATATATAGGCCTCAAGAGTCGAGGTTTTTCCTATAAACTTAATTTGTTGCATTTCTTCTTGGCAGATTAATCTAGCAAATTATGTCTCGGAATTCCTTGTGAAGTTCTCTCATAGCAATAAACCATACTTCGATCATCTCTTCCAGGTCTACACAATATCAATTATTGTTAAATCTCGGCACCAAGAAATTTTTTATCGTTCTTCAATTATGTTGCATCATAGCGTGCTGTATGCTATTGCTTGAAATCCTTTGTTGGAATTGTAAATGCAGAGTTTAACGCCGACTCAACAAAATGCTGTCCAAATGGTGCTGAATCGATGAAGAGTTTGTTTGTTGTACCTATATAGTTGTCCTAGTGCAAATTCATTTATTGATTGAGCCGAAGGAGTCTTGCTCTAGTTTCCCAATCTTACTCTGGGGAGAGGAGCAACTTTCTGAGTTGTAAAATTGAGGCATTTCATTCGTGTGTGTTGTAGTGTTTGTTTTAATAGAGGTGAGGGCTATGGCTATCTATTAGTATTTGCCATTTAAGAAATGTGTGATTGTGCGGGATAACTACTGATTGTAAGCGGGGATTGATTGTGTTCATATGAGAGAGATATTCAACTTTTTTCTTTTTAATATAGAGGAACATTCAAATTTTTTTTGAACCGTTACTACCAAATTGTGTTAAATTTCGGAGAACAACTAAAAATGTCCAATAAAAAGAGCGAACCGGTTGAGTCATTTTTAAAGCACGAATAGAACAATGTATGTATCATTTTCTAATTATAAAACATATTAAGGGTTATCATATTGTTTCGACATAGCTTAGGGGATCCAAATTTAATTTATCAAATAAAAAAATAGAATAAAAGAAAAAATAATGGCCAACCATGGTCCATATAACACTAAACCAATGGCAGTTCCCTTTCTCTCTCTTCCTCTTTTTAGACCAGAACTCAAAAGAAGCCACCTTCTTCGGACTGTCCTCGCAACCTTCCTCTGTTTTTGATTTTCTTCAACTGAAAACAAGCAAACAAACAAACAAGGAAAAAAGCAGAAGCGATTAACACTACTTTTCCAGAGATCAGAAAAATTGTTTTTATTACAATGGGAGCAACAGCTAATCCTTATTCTCTCTCTTCCTCACCGGCTCACCCATCACCTTCACTGAACCGTTCTCTTTTCCCTCGTTTTCATCGACCCTTGTTAAAGCTTCACTTCTTCAACGAGCCTCAAAGTCCGAGACTCGTTGCGGTTCGTTCCCAGAACTCGAATTCGGAATCTCCAGTTTCGAATGTCGATGGGTTCGGATCTGGGTCCAAAAGATCGGCTTATTTCGACGATTCCGAAGCTTCATCTTCTTCTTCGGCCATTGATTTTCTCACATTGTGCCACCGTTTAAAGGTGTGTAGACATATACTATTATAAGAATGTTGCTTTTAATTTAATTTTATTTTTTTTGTGATTTTTTTTTAATGTGCATAATATTGAGTTGGGTTTATGTAATTCATGTTTTTCATGTGATTAATTGTTTGTGATTGGAGATATTTGGTTGAAATTGAGAGATGTTTGGTGGATTTTAGGAATTTGTTGAAATGGGTATGAGTGTGGTTGGTGACCGATTTGATGAATGTAGGAGGCCTGTTAGAGGTGATTTATGTGGTGAGTTTGGAAATAAGGTATGCCATTGGATCATGAACGTAGTATGTTGTCTCAGTATAAACTATGTTTTTACAGAAGAATGTATTTGTTCTTACGGGAAGGTAATTATTGTGCAAGTGTGATTAAGGTAGACGATCAATCCACCAAACACTCGAATGCCTAATTCTTCTGCTTCCTTTACTTTTAGTTTTTTCTTACGATTTATAGGGATCCCGTTAGTTCTTATTAAGTGATTGACTTGGTGAAATGGTACAACAATAGAGACCTTGTACTCTGGGGAGGACGTACTGCCAACTGAAGTAGTTGAAGTAACTCAATAAATGTGTGAAGGGCTTGAGCAGCCTATCCTCATGTTTTTTTTTTTCTTCTGTTGAAAACATCAAGCCCAATACATTCATCGAGGATCATGGTTCAACAAATCGTGTTATCTACTTGTGTTCGACTGTAATGTGTTAGATATCATGGTAATTCTCCTCTGACTATGGTTTCATTTGGCCCTAAGGTAATTATGTTATGTTCCTTTGTTTTCATCTTCTACTTTGTTGTTATAATGAAGCATCTGGATGCATCGATTCATGGATCTCTCAGTTTGAGAAATAAAAATAAGAGGATCAAATTTTATATGTTTCTTTGACCGTCTAATCTTTACTAAAACTGAAAAATCTCCCTCTCTCTCTCTCTCTCTCTCTCTCTTTCTCTTTCTCTCTAGACAACCAAACGGAAGGGATGGATCAATCATGGGATAAAAGGTCCTGAGTCTATTGCTGATCACATGTACCGCATGGCGTTGATGGCTTTGATTGCTGGTGACCTTTCTGATGTTAACAGGGAGAGGTTGGAATTGATCAAAATAATGAAGAATTGTATTCTTTATTATTTTCATATTTTTTCAAGCTATTNATTTTTTTTTAATGTGCATAATATTGAGTTGGGTTTATGTAATTCATGTTTTTCATGTGATTAATTGTTTGTGATTGGAGATATTTGGTTGAAATTGAGAGATGTTTGGTGGATTTTAGGAATTTGTTGAAATGGGTATGAGTGTGGTTGGTGACCGATTTGATGAATGTAGGAGGCCTGTTAGAGGTGATTTATGTGGTGAGTTTGGAAATAAGGTATGCCATTGGATCATGAACGTAGTATGTTGTCTCAGTATAAACTATGTTTTTACAGAAGAATGTATTTGTTCTTACGGGAAGGTAATTATTGTGCAAGTGTGATTAAGGTAGACGATCAATCCACCAAACACTCGAATGCCTAATTCTTCTGCTTCCTTTACTTTTAGTTTTTTCTTACGATTTATAGGGATCCCGTTAGTTCTTATTAAGTGATTGACTTGGTGAAATGGTACAACAATAGAGACCTTGTACTCTGGGGAGGACGTACTGCCAACTGAAGTAGTTGAAGTAACTCAATAAATGTGTGAAGGGCTTGAGCAGCCTATCCTCATGTTTTTTTTTTTCTTCTGTTGAAAACATCAAGCCCAATACATTCATCGAGGATCATGGTTCAACAAATCGTGTTATCTACTTGTGTTCGACTGTAATGTGTTAGATATCATGGTAATTCTCCTCTGACTATGGTTTCATTTGGCCCTAAGGTAATTATGTTATGTTCCTTTGTTTTCATCTTCTACTTTGTTGTTATAATGAAGCATCTGGATGCATCGATTCATGGATCTCTCAGTTTGAGAAATAAAAATAAGAGGATCAAATTTTATATGTTTCTTTGACCGTCTAATCTTTACTAAAACTGAAAAATCTCCCTCTCTCTCTCTCTCTCTCTCTCTCTTTCTCTTTCTCTCTAGACAACCAAACGGAAGGGATGGATCAATCATGGGATAAAAGGTCCTGAGTCTATTGCTGATCACATGTACCGCATGGCGTTGATGGCTTTGATTGCTGGTGACCTTTCTGATGTTAACAGGGAGAGGTTGGAATTGATCAAAATAATGAAGAATTGTATTCTTTATTATTTTCATATTTTTTCAAGCTATTTATACAGACATTATGTTGTTTCATGTGTTTTGTGTTAGTTGGAAACCTGAGATTGTGCGTTATTATCTTTTTTGTTATTTGGCGACTATAATTAAGTTGTGAAACTTGGGAAATTCAACAAGATTGCATGCTTTGTGTTTATGTGATATAAAATGTGAGCCTTCAAATCCTATCTGTGCTATAAGAAGTTTAGGGGGATTTCCATGATTTAAAACCTATTCCCTTTGAATTAAGGTAAATAGTAAGTAATTCCCATAGACTATTGTAAAGTGACTACAATTTGGATTTTGATAGAGAATGCGACTTTACTTCTTAGCCTAATATTGATGAGCATCATTGTGGTCTCACTTTAATGTATCGTCGTTGAAATTGAACAAAAAGGAGAGACTTATGGATTTTGTCTAATAAGTATGTTAGTACATGTATTTTTGGTAATCTCTATATTTGTGTGTGTGACCACTTCTATGTGGCGTGTTGTCCCAAGAGTGGGCCCTGGAAGCCTGTCAATGAGTTGACCTACATTGGGACTTTGGCCGTTGGATGCTTACCAAGAATTTGCTTTCATGTTGATTAAAAGGCTTTTAGATTCATATTGCGGTTAGTTACAAATCAACAAAACACCTTCCACAAGGTTCGATGCACAGGAGCAACACGGTTTGTTGCTTAGCTTTAGTGGTGTTGTAGTGATGGGTTGCTCTTCCGGGTTAATAGCAACGGCTCAAACTGAACATTCCATAGTGAGGGACCGTCATGATCACACCCAGGGGGGCCTACTACCTACTGGTTCCCCCCCGGCCCCCCCGGGGATGCTCAAACATTTGGTTGCCTTCTAAAGGAAACATCTTAAAGACCACAACCAATGTCCATTTTGTCATGAGCGTTGCAGTATTATATAATTGGACCCTTTTAATTTCCATTCCTTTATCTGATGGTTGGTAACAAATTCAGTTCAGAGTTTAGACCGTTAGTTGTAGCTGCACTGGCATTCAGATAGTGTACTATGGTGCTGTCTGATGAGCTATGTTGATCAGTGGGCCTTGGCTACAGTCTTCTTTAAGTGAGGTCTGTATTGGTGTGTCTTCTTGGTCCAGTGGAGGAGTTACCCAGTCTCTCATTTTGCCTGAAGACTCCTTCTGGTAATATAAACGAGCTTTTAAAATTCCTTTTCTGTGCACTAGGATTTTTGGTTCTGAAATGGCATTAAGCAGTGGTTGATCTGTGTATTTCCTAAGAATCCTAAGGCACTTTGTTCATTACTTAAAAAATAAAAACGGCCCATTCACCTGCAGTCTACTGCAAATGTTTCATTAATTTCTTCAAGCATAGTTATTCTCATTAATTAAATAGAACATATCATCAGTATTGTTTTTTAATTTACTTCTTTTCCAATTCGGGTAATAATTGAATTTTCCCTGTTCTTGCTTTTCTTTAAACAGGTGTATCAAGATGGCAATTGTTCATGATATTGCTGAAGGTAACACTTAGGTTCTACACTGATACCTGATATTCTTGACTTGTGTTCAATAATCTAACCTCCACAAGGTATTTCTGGCATGAAAATAGATGTCCCACTTTCTGTCAATTGCAGCAACAAAGCTGCCATATTTTGATTTCATGAGTATTTTATGCTTTAAAATTAATTTCACACAGCATTGTTTTATAGAGAAATATAGAATTACAAGAAAAAATGGTTTTTTTCCTTGGTAAACTGGCTAAATGATGATTTACTAGTCATGTACCAGCTCTTAATTTCCCAGGTGCTTGGTATTTCGAGTCTATCTGCATCTTTTGCCACTGCTTTACCTCTACAATGGCACAAAGTTACTAGTGTTTTTACACCTTAAATGATACCTTTTTCTTCAATCTCTATCATACAGACTTGCAGCTCATCCTGACATGTTGTCTCACTAATTCCATTCTTGATGAGAACCCTCCGAGTAAGATTTGACTGGTTGAAGAGTGTTAGTGCTAGGGGAGAAAACACCTTTTAAAAATGGGGCAGGGAATTATATAATGTTATTAGTCCAAATAAAGACACTGATGTACGGATTTAGAATTGTTGTTACAGTACTAGTCGTCTTTTACATATGTGTGTGTAGATGTGTATGCATTATAAACTGCTATGTTTCTGCTTACTTTCTTCTTGTTTTACATTATTCCTGAAAGTAAACTGGATTCTTGCTAAGTTTTTTAAACCATATTTCTCCTATTGCCTTGGTTGCTGGAAGGATATTGAATTTTTCAACGTATGCTCCCAAATTTGTTGAGGCCACAGTTAGTAACTTCAAGTTTTTTTTTCAACTAACGTTTTTTTGGTTGGTGACTTGTGCTTTTTTTATTTCAACCAATTATCATGCTTCTTTTGGTTTTGAGGTTAAGCAATTGAAGATGTATTCTGGTTTTTTTAGCTATTGTTGGAGATATAACACCATCCGATTGTGTGCCTAAAGAAGAAAAAAGAAGAAGAGAACAAGCAGCTTTGAACGAAATGTGCGAAGTTCTTGGTGGAGGGATGAGGGGTATCGACTGATGCTTGGTATCTTTGATTGCTTGTAGCTTTTCTTCATCCTTGCTGAGTGAACTCAAATCCAGTTCTTCGCATTTGCAGCTGAAGAGATCAAAGAACTATGGGCAGAGTATGAAAATAATTCTTCCATGGAGGCTAATCTTGTGAAAGATTTTGACAAGGTATGAGCCAATTGGATTCATCCAGCAATCCAAACGTTTTTACATAACAACAAGGTTTGATAACTTTTATTTGAAGGATATTCTTCCATTGTAATACTTCATGATTATAATGCATAGCAGAAGCTTACAGATGAAAGTTTACCATCTTTTGACTTAAATTTCTGCGCTGTTAATTTGGGTGCATCTTGAGCTAATTTTTCACGTATAAATAATAGTTTAATAGGTTAAAAACACACTTTGATACTGATCAAACTTACTTATTGATGGAAAAGAAAGAATGTTTAAAGCTTTTGACAAGCAGCATTTACTCACCATCAACTAGTCCACGACATTACAATGTTGTGATATCCATTAGAATATTGGACTGGATATCATGCTACCATCGTCATCATCATCAGGCAGTGCAATTAGTCTAGAATGGCATGTGGCTTTCAGGGCAAAGGTGTTAATACCTGATGACTGACATTGTATTACCCCCTTAAAATAGTTTTACTGCTCAGTGTACATCATGGAGGAACACTATGGATGAACCCTTAGCATGCATTTAAGATCTTTTTAACAGTGGCATAGGTTTGCAGATGTATTTTACTTTTAACTGATTTGTTGTACATGATGCTGTTTATATAATTTTGTGAAGGTGTTTTTAAGTTCAATTTTTCTTGTGCTTATTTGATGCATGTTTTTTGCATATGTTCATGTGAATCTATATGGAATTGCGCTCGACTTAATTACCTTGGGTTAGTCAATACTATGAGAAAATTGATCATGCAGGGTTTTATTACTGAGAAATTGTGTTGTCAAAGGATTGATTGGACCACTTGGAAGCTTTATTGAAGTCCATAAATCAATTACCTACTATAACGAGTGGTAGTTTTGATTTCTTTCGTGAGCTGGAATAGTATGTAGGTCCACTGAGGGCATTAACCAATATATGTCCCAGACAACTTTGATCGTATTTTTTCAACATCTGAGACATAGATCCATAGTCCCTCACCCCCCATCCTCCTTCTGCACAAAAGCATATATAATTTAATAACCAAAACAAAACCTGCCTTTCTTAATAGCTGTGATTACCATCGGTCATTGGTTATTGTGATGTGCCCGTTTGTTGAATGTGTAGGTGTTTTCTATGTGTACGTAAGGTGGTATGTGTCGGCCACTCTTAGTCCTAAAGAATCCTTTATTTGTAAAAAAAATGTTTCACTTATTTTTTAAAATTCTTTTATGCTTCTCCAGGTGGAAATGATTCTGCAAGCATTGGAATATGAAACCGGTAAGTGTGTGATCATGATAATCTCTATGATTATTTATACAAAAAAATGAGGATTACTTACTTTCAATTTTGCATCAAAATTATTATGCAGATTGTAATACACACTGATTCTGGTGCCTGTAAGGGAGATAGTTAGGTATGACAATTCTAGACACGATGTGTGAACACAATACAAAAGCAACACAGAATTAACCAGTTTAGATTTAGTCTTAGTGGGTAGGGTGGTGAATGGGTGAACCCCCTAGATCCCAATAAATGGGTCGACATGAATTCGGCTAATCATGATGTATGCACGACAAGAACCTAACACGGCATGAATCCAACTATACACAACTATAAGGGGTCGGGTTAGGGTTGAGGGAATCTTGATACCACAAAACTTGGAAGCACGACACAGCACAACTAATTGACAGCCCTAATGATAGTTATAATGTCCTACAATTAATGGTCCTCACAATATTTTATCGAATCTAATTTTCATGCCTTTCAGTTTTTAATATTAATTTCATGTGTAATTGTACTATTGCACACATATAGATGAGTGGCTATCTAGCTTTTTATTTGTACTTTTTAGCATCATGGTTGTTTGTTGCTAACACGTAGGCATATGGACCTTTTAGAACACCCTACCCAACAATCCTTCCAATCACATTCATCTCTCTCATCCCATGTGTATTGGGTAATTGTTGAGATAAATCATGGGGGATGGCTTCAGTGCCACTCGAACTAAAGATCTACAGGTCTTTACATTGTGCTTCTAACCATCATATCATTATTGGTAAGACTCAAGAATCGCATGGGATCTATATCCAGAAGCAGTATATTGGGGTTATATGTTGCAATCGTTCTTTACCATGAGAAATTGGTGGATTGAGTGGTAAACATGCAAAAAGCAATGGCCTATGAGCTATGATTTATTTGTAAATAGATGAGTTGTGGAGATTCTTTTCTTTTTGACTGCTCTAATTACAATTGATTTGCTGTAGAAATTTACTTGTCAAGACTCAAGACGCTTGGATTAGAACAAGCAGTACTGTTATACCTTTGTCTTTAAAGAACTATCTGATGTTTCTCATATGGTATTTGTAATGTTGTGGCAGAACATGGGAGAGTTCTGGATGAGTTTTTTCTTTCAACTGCAGGTAAATCCAATAAGTTCTTTGTTCAAACGGGGTACTCATTGAAGATTTTGCCGCCTTTCAATCATACCTGCCAGCAACTCTGTTGTTCATGTTCTGTATTTATCCTACATTTGCAGGAAAATTTCAAACTGACATAGGAAAGAGTTGGGCAGCTGAGATAATCTCGAGGAGAAACTCAAGATTGGCAGACAAGCATCATTAATCCCGGGGTTAACTTTCAGATTTATCTCTCAGCAATTTTTCCACTCCTATAACTGGTCTTATGCAACTGTTTTTTACTGAGATTATGTGAATGATTTTCCTTCATGTTCACACACCTGCCCAAGTCCTTGTTTTGATTTTGCTATGTCAGAAAGATAGCCGATTTGTATTTAGAAGTGACTACAGTTGAGGATTTCTCATCGTCAGCCGAATAAATAGATGAATAGCTGGCGTCTTGTCAGATTAATTACCTTTAAGTTGCACGATAATAAGCCCATATATTTTTGCTACATATTTGATGCATGAACCGTGAACGAAATCTTGTAGTGTTGACAGTAGAATTGCGAGCTATATTATTAGATGTGTCCCTGTTTCCTTTGAGCCCAAGTTTATAAACTCTTGCTAAACAGCGAGAGAACTGATTGATGCTGTACTTGTACTAGGGAATAGATGGATAATGCATGGTTGAAGGTGCTGAATTGCATAGGTCTGGCACTGGTTCTTTGCACACATTGGAACTGTGTAAAAGTGAGTGTTTTTTGGGGTGGGGGAGGGGGAGGGTCTCTGAAGTAGGTTTCAGACCAAGAAATTGTTATACAAAATATCACTTTATGAGCTTTAAGCTCACGCAAGAGTTTACTTAGTGCCAAGATGTATCTGATCCATGCATAATATCATAAAAAATGGATGCACTATTTTGACTGCTACTTGGTATCGATAGTAGGTCTAAAAAACTATCTAAAAAAATCAAATTTAGATAGTTGTATTTTATCCAAGTAGGGAATCATGGCATGTATGTTACGAATATATTATTTTGAGAGAGTTGAAAAAATACTATCATATTGAAAGGTTGGTTTTATACATCTGCTCTTTTTCAACACATTTCTTTAGACAAAGATTCTGTTTTTTCTCTTTTCAGATGGTAAATATTTCTTAGAACATGGAGTAGGAATCAAACTGATGTAGATTGTACTAGGAAAGAATTAGGGATGAAAAGGGAAGAAGAAATGGATGAGAAAAGAAAAAGGAGATGAGAATAGAGAGAATTTTAAAAAGAAGATTCAATATCAATAATCAATCAAAGTCTACAAAAATAAATAATATATATATATATATAGGGAGACCATAAATCCTAAAAGAACTCTAAAAGAAATAAATAGTCATAATAACAATTAAATTCCTGAAAAGCATAATGACAAATAACTCATAATCCTTATGCCTATGCCTATTATAACGAAATATAATTCGATTTCTATCATTTTCCCCCGTCTGAAAGGAACTCGCCTCCAGAGAGATATGATCATGATAATGCTCTAGAAGATCAAGGTTAAGCCGACGAAACTCCTCCTTAGTAATCCATGAATCATCAGTCTCTAGATGATTTGTCCATCGAATAAGATAACGACGATATCCTCCATCCGAGGAGCCCACAATCTGATCATCAAGTACATCTACGATCTAGTCAGGCAACTGTGGTGGAAATGGTGGAAGAATAGAAACTATAGTTGATGCTGATGACGAAACAAGTCCACCTGTAGGAACACCTGTTGGAAACATAGGAGGCTCAAAAATACCATGATAAGGAAACAAGTCCTCCACATTGAAAATAGGACTAATACTCATATTCGAAGGTAAATCAAGGTGATATGCATTAGGTCCAAGCTTACGAAGAATACAAAAAGGATCAGTGGCTCGAGCAAGTAACTTTTTGAAAGAATTTTTAGGATAACGTTCAGGATGCACACGAACCATGACCTAGTCTCCCATAATAAATTCTTTATTCCTATGATGAACATCTGCAGTCAATTTATAATTTTCATTACTTAATGTAATTTTCTGTCTTATGTCGGCATGCAAGTCATGAATATGCTGGGCAAAAACTTCGGCTGAGTGTGAGGGGCGGGAATCAGGAGGTAAAAGTAATAAATCAATGGGCTGTCTAGGGGAATAGTCATAAACAATCTCAAAAGGGGATATACCAGTCGACCTGTTGACAGAGTTATTATAGGCAAATTCAGCAGTAGGCAACAACAAATTTCAATTTCCCATCTTCTCACCCACTAGACACCTAAGCAAATCTCCTAAGCTACGATTGACTACCTCAGTTTGACCATCAGTTTGGAGATAAAAGGCAGAGGAAAACTTAAGACTAGTTCCAAAGAGTTTTCAAAGAGTCTTCCAAAAATAACTCACAAACTTGACATTCCTATCAGACACAATGGAAATAGGCAACCCATGTAGTCGGACAACCTCTCTAAAAAATAACTTTGCTACATGTGAGGCATCAGTAGACTTAGTACAAGGAATGAAATGTGTCATCTTAGAAAACATATCCACGACAACTAGAATGGAATCATGATTACAGGTTGTTTTAGACAATCCTAAGACAAAGTCCATACTAAGGTCTCTCCATGGTGTGTGTGGAACTGGTAATGGTGTGTACAACCCTGTGTTTTGTTTCCTAGCCTTTGCTAACTGACAAGTGCGACATTGTGACACTATCCTAATAATGTCACACCTCAAAGTGGGCCAATAAAACCTATCATCAACAAGTGCAAATGTCTTATCCCTACTAAAGTGGTCTGCCAAACCTCCCGCATGTAATTCCCAAATCAGGAAATCCCTAAGTGAAGTACGAGGAATACATAAGCGCGACACTCTAAACAAGTAACCATCTCTAAGGAGGAAGTCAATATACTCATGACTGTTACCAGACTGAACCTCCTGAAAAATGATACCAAAGTCAGGACAAGAGGCATACTCATCTCTAATCCTGTCAAAGTCAATCACATGGACACTCATAGTCTGTAAAACAGTAACTACACGGCTAAGAGCATCCGCAGGCTTGTTTTCAATGCCCGTTCGGTGGTGAAGAACAAAAGTATACTCCTGAAGGAACTCAACCCACTTAACGTGTCTAACACTCAATTTTCTCTAGGACTGAAGGTATTTTAATGCCTGATGATCAGAATATAACACAAACTCAAATGGCAATAGATAATACCTCTAATGGCGAAGAGCTTGTACCACAACATAGAACTCTTTGTCATATGTAAAGTATCGTTGTTTAGCTTCATTGAGTTTTTCGCTGAAGTAAGCAATAGGATGACTCTCTTGACTCAAAACTCCACCTATCCCCACACCAGATGCATCACAGTCAACCTCAAACACCTTAGAAAAATCTGGGTGGTGAAGAACGAGTGCCTCTGTCATCCTGTGCTTAATTTCTCGAAAGGCTCTAGTTGTAGCAAGTGTCTATTGAAACTCCCCTTTTTTCATACACTTTGTGATGGGAGCCATAATAGAACTAAACCCTTTAATAAATCGTCTATAGAAGGTGACCAAACCATGAAAACTTCGAACCTCAGAAATTGTTCTTAGCACTGGTCAATCCCTAATAGCACAAATTTTTTCTGGGTCAGCTACAATACCATGCACAAAAATAATAAATTTAAGGAAAAGCACTTGAGTTTGCATGAAGGAGCACTTCTTAAGGTTTGCATAGAATTTTTTCACACGTAATGTCTGCAAAATCTGTCGAAGATGATCCAAATGCTCTTCTTTAGACCTACTATAGATCAAGATATCATCAAAGTAAACAACCACAAATTTTCTTAGGAAAGGACGTAGTATCTGAGTCATGACCCTCATAAATATGCTAGGTGTATTAGACAATCCAAAAGGCATGACCAACCACTCATAAAGTCCATCCTGGATTTTAAATGCAATTTTTCATTCATCTCCTGGTCTAATTCGAATTTGATGATAATTACTGCGCAAATAAATTTTGGAGAATCAAAGTGCACCGGCCAAAAAGTGAAGCATATCTTCAAGTCTCGGTATAAAAAATTGATATTTGACTGTAATTTTGTTAATGACATGACTATCAACACACATTCTCCAAGAGCCATCTTTCTTAGGGGTTAACAAAATAGGGACAGCACATGGACCAAGACTATGACGAACAGACCCTTTTTGCAACAGTCCATCTACTTGCCTTTGGAGTTCAGCATGCTCAGTGAGATTCATACGATAATGGGGAAGATTAGGCAACTGAGATCCTAGAACTAAGTCAATAGCATGTTGAACATCTCTCATTGGTGGCAACTCATCGGGTAGTTTCTCAGGAATCACATCATGGAATTTTCTCAATAGACTATCAACTTCAGGCAAAAGATCGTCTTTAGATTTCAAAGGACTTTGAACAACTTCTTTGACAATTAGAGCTACCATTATACCACTCTTTTCTCTCTTTCTCAAATTCTCTATGGGTCAAGATGTAAAGGTCTTTCTTGTGAATTACTGGGGAAGATGACCTATGTTTTGAAGTATTACTTTCTAAGGGTTTCGCAGGTTTTAACTTAATGGTTTTCCCCTTATGCTTAAAAATATAAGTATTTTTCCTCCCATAGTTTGTCACATCTAGACCAAAAAGCCACGAACGACCCAACAAGACATGAGCGACATCCATAGGTAAGACATTATACCATATATGATCTGAATAGTCACCCATCTGAATAGGGACCAAACATCTATGTGAGACTGGTAAGGAGATCTTGTCAAACTCATGCGACTTTGTAAGGTTGTGGGTGTGTCTCTGACTTAAGCTGCAACTGAGCTATAGCTGATTTAGAGATGACATTCAATGAACTTCCCCCCATCAATGACGACCTTGCAAACTTGACCTCCACATCGAACTAGAGTATGAAAAATGCTGGTGTGTTTCCATGTTGCTGTGTTTGAAGGGGTGGATAAGATACATCGCATTACATTGACACGGGTGTCATCGGATTGCCAGTCTTCCTCACCCTCATCTAGTAACTCTAAGGGTGCTTCATCCAAAGGATCAACTTCTAGGTCAACATCCTCTCTGTCAAGTGAATTCTCTAATCCCTGGTCAATGATCAAGGTACGCTGAGGGCACTGTGAAGCAATATGACCCTTGCCATGACAACGGTGACACTCTATGAAAGAACTGTCCTGGTGAGAACCTGTGAGTATAGAATCTCGACCCCTAGTGGTATTACCTCTCAAGTTGGGGTAATTGTTACCCCTGGATCTGACTGTGAAGACCCTGCCCCATTACCGGGACCCTGTCTTCCAAGGGTTAACCTCCCATTACCGGGATATCACCACCCTCCACCAAAGGATTTCGGCTAACCTGCAGGACTCGCCCCACAGTAGCCTTTACCTCCGTCCCACATCGGGGAAGGAGTCGTCTCCCCACCCCCATATAAGCCGAAGCACAATATGGAAGCAGTACCCAAGTAGCACACTGTGCTACTTGGGTACTGCTTCCATATTGTGCTTCGGCTTATATGGGGGTGGGGAGACGACTCCTTCCCCGATGTGGGACGGAGGTAAAGGCTACTGTGGGGCGAGTCCTGCAGGTTAGCCGAAATCCTTTGGTGGAGGGTGGTGATATCCCGGTAATGGGAGGTTAACCCTTGGAAGACAGGGTCCCGGTAATGGGGCAGGGTCTTCACACTGACAGGGCCTGACTGGGTGACGCCTCGAAACCGATCAAATGGGACTGACCTTGATGGTTGAGATTCTCCAGTTTGAGAAGGCATTCGATGCTGAAAGGGTGGCCTAAGGTATTGTTCAATCTCTAAGGCTTTATAATATGCTTCGTTAACCGTTTCAGGAGAATGTAAGTTAATCTCTCTCTTAATCTCAGGTCGTAAGTCATTAATGAATTTTATAACTGTTATCCAAAGTTCTTCCTTTATGTCACATCTCAGAAAGAGCTCTTCAAATCAAGCTAGGTAATCAGTCACACTCGAGGTCAATTGACGCAAGTTCATCCACTTGTTCAAGAGTTGACGCTTATTGTAACTATGGAGATATTTATCTCGTAATTTTTGTTTCATCTCAGCCCATAAAGTAATAGGTTGTCCCTCTAGGCGCTCTTGGTCTCGTTGGACTCTTTGCAAATATCTCTTAGCCAAACCAACGAGTTTCATTTTGGCAAAACGAACCCGATGGTTGTCAGACATATCATACCAATCAAAATAGTCATCTATGTCATCCAACCAATCTAAGAAAACAACAGGATCTAACCTACCATCAAAGCTAAGAGCGTCCACTTTAACTCTTTGTGTGATATCCCTAGATTCTTCGTGGACATGCCTATGTCGGGATTATGGTAACGCGGAGGGGGAGACCTATGGTATCTGGCATGTGGGCGGAAGGGCTCACGATAACCATCCATATCACCCTCTGCTGAATAGTCAGACATGACTACCTCAGCGGGATCCTCCTAAATATTCCTACGACCTACGTTTCGTCCAAAAGCGGTATTAGGAGGTGTCTTCCTATCTGGACGCTGTATTCGGCTCCCCTAAGCTACTTGCTGAGTGGGTAGGACACCTTGACATGAATCAATAGGATCTATTAGGAGAGGTAGGTGCCGAACATTGGGTACTTGGTTATACTTAAGTGAAACTTGTAACTCACTCTGGTCATAGTCTATTGGTCGTTTTTCCATAAACTTAGTCAATTGGGCTAGTTGAGTAGTAACTTGAGAAAGTTGTTGCCTCATTCCTTTAACTTCCTCACGTAACAAGTCGACTGATTGTTTAATATCGGTCATATCAATGGTGAGGGTCTCAAATTTTTGTTCTAATGCAGTATGAGATTTTGAAAGCTCACGAAGGGTCATAATAAATGTAATGTAAAATTTGGGCTAATGTAAATGACCGACTAGACTAAAAATTAAACCAAGTAATAAAAATTATAAACCAATGCAAATGGTCACACATAAGAACAAACTTATTGTCAAGAGGCTCAAATAAATGTGAGACAAGCAATAATGAATTTAACAAGAAATTGGATAAGTTAAGTTACGAAGGTGATGTATGGGAACAACAAACAAAGAAGGTTATGAAGGTGGTATGTGGGAACAACAAACAAAAAAAGTTTAGGTTTTTTTTTTTTTGTTTGACTTACCAACAAATATAAATATTAGTCAACAATTTTCAACGAAAAGAACTTGTACCTGGTGTTAGATGCAACTCCAAGCGGATGCTTGACAAGTTCGGGGATGATCCTATAAAGTGTAGAACTTTTTGGGGTGTTCTGTAATTTTTGAAACTTATGGGGTGATATTTTTATAATTTTTTGAACCTGTTGGGACATTTCTGTAATACTGAAATTTTTGGATGATACTTCTGCAATTTATTAAAATTTTTGGGGTGATTCTGTAACTTTTAAAAAATTTTGGAGAGGTTCCTGTAATTCTAGAGCTTTATGGGGGTAAAATGGTTAAAATCAATGTCTTCTTCCTTAACACGATGAAACGAGGAAGAAGATGGACAACGATGAAGTCGAAGCAGCACAGGTCAACGACGAAAACAGGCGCAATGAACAGTAACAACGATGAACAGTGCACAATTATTATTTTTTTATGGAACGAGACTAGAAAAGTGCACACGATGATTTTTTTTTTTTTTTGATTTTTTTTTCTAGAATAGGAACGATGAACAATAAGAATCTGCCAAAGTTTATTTTTATTTTTTTTATTTTTATGGAATGAGACCAGAACAGTGCGCACGATGAAATTTTTTTTTTTTTCCAAGGAACGGCGTTGTTGAAATTTTTTGTGATTTATATGAATCTAAATTAGGCTCTGATACCAAGTTGATGTAGATCGTATTAGAGAAGAATTAGGGATGAGAAGGGAATAAGAAATGGATGAGAAAAGAAGAAGAAGGAGATGAGAATAGAGAGAATTTTAGAAAGAAGATTCAATATCAATAATCAATCAAAGTTTACCAAAACAAATAACATATCTCTTAATATATATAGGGAGACCACAAATCCTAAAAAAACTTTAAAAGAAATAAATAGTCATAATGACAATTAAACTCCTGAAAATCATAATGACAAATAACTCCTAATCTTTACGCCTACACCTACTATAACGAAATATAATCCGATTCCTATCACAAACCCATGGTTTTTTTGAAATTGAGATTTTGATGTAAGTTTTTTTCTTTTGAGTCAGGTAGATTCATATTTGAAAGAGGTTAATAATAAGTTCTTTCAAAATTGATTATTTGTCCCTCTGTTTGAGGTGTTCCAGAAATATTTGCGATCAAGTAAATAGCTTTACGAATGAATCCCCCAGATGTGCCTAAAGTCTTATGATGATCCCTCTCAAAGCCGGATTAAACCATAAAGCTCGACTAAGAAATTCATGTTAAAGACTCATCCAAGTTCGATTCATTTATTATTCCTGTTGTGTAAATGGATGGCATAAGAAAAATTTAAATCTTTTAATTTTGTATCATATTTGTGTTGTATTAATAAATCTGATAACGGATCGTGTTATATAATGACAACCTTACGCTTCTTATACCCACTGTGTGACTTGTGAACCTCAAGTGTAGTTTTGTGGGTTGCATGTGTTTTTTTTTGGGGGAGGGGGGGGGNCAGTTTTGCCTGTTAACATAATGGTTTTTTTTTTTTTTTGTTGGGGGGGGGGGGGGGGGGGGGGGGGCAAGATTCTGTAGTAATTAGGTGGAGAATGTGGACCTGTCATCTGGATCTATTGTCTCATCCTCACTCTCTCTCTCTCTCTCTCTCACCAAACTTTAACCCCCACCACCGACACCTTCTCCTTCTAAGGAAGATAACTAGCCAAGCAAAGCCAAGTCTATTTAAAATCTCTATTATTAGGGTTATGCATGTATTAAACTTTTGCTAACTAAAGAAAAGTTGAAAAGCAAAAGCACACAGAAATTCAAAGTAAAAAGAACTAAAGAAAGCACATCAACCAGTTTGGATGGTAGAATTTCAGTGGTTTAAAGTTCGTGGGAGAGGTTTGGTTGATCTGACGTGTATGATATACAAAAAAAGGTATCATAATTTGACCTTAGGTTATAGTCATAAGTTAAAACAAGTTTGAGATGATTTTCGATCGCCACCAAGAAATTAATGAAACAAAGAAGGAAAAGTGGTACAAACAATGCCAATTTATTATGAAGAACTTGTTAAAAAGACTCGTCATTTTTATTGAGATTTTGAAGTGGTACGACGCTTTGAATATTTACTTGAGAGAGATTACCGTTGAAAATAAGAATATGTTTTTTTTTATCTTATGATCGTTTTATCATTTTTTTAATCTTATTTACTACGATACTGTCTTTTTAAAAATATGTTTTAAACCCACATTTTTAACAATAAAAAGTATATTAAAGATATATTTTTTTATCTTAAATATAGGATTCAGATTTGTTATTAAAAATGGGATAAATAAATTTCAGAAAGAAAGAGAAAATACCTACAAGGATTGTCTAACCACCTAAATATAAACCAAGTTATTAATTGTGAAATGAGAAAGAACAAAACAGAGCAACTAGACTGAGCTGTAAAAGAAGAATCATTCAGTCCACCTGAATTAATCGAGATGTGTATAAATTGGTTCGGACATTTCTTGCAGTTGAATAAGAAAAAAAAAAAAAAAGAATACTTAAATTTAATTGAGCAATGCTATTGAAACCTAATTTTTTTTTTTTAATGTATTGGTTTAATTTAGTGACTAAATTCTTTATGACCTTTTGATTGATTGTGAGTTTCATCAATTATTGAAATTTGATGTTAAATTATATTATTATTAAATCAACAAATTAAGTTAAATATTTAACTCTAAATAGTATTATTCAATTTAATTTATTGTTCTAATTATTCTTTGTCATTAAATTAACAATAAATCACAATAATTCTTAAAATCCGTTTCCAATCTAATAATTTATAAATTATTTCGACAAATTAAACGTAATAATTGTAAAATGAAGAAAAATTCAGCAAAGACCCAAATGATGGCTCCAGTCTTGGCGCTGACAGTCTGCAAAGCCAACTAAGTTGCGTAATTATCTCATATCACATTTGACGTTCAATGAAGGCAACCAATTCAATCCCTCTATGCATATAACCATAATGACTATTCTTTCGTCATTGAAAAATCAAACAAACCATTTTTAATCATCTTCAAACACTTGTAAACTTCTTTTTCTTTGAGGTCACTGTCACTTTTGTGTGCTTCGGATTTGAGAGACCCCATTAACCGTGTTTTGGGGTTGAGTTTGTAACGATAAAGTGCCTTCCTTTGGTGTACATTGTGTAAGTGAAACAGTAGCTACAAGTGCTGATTCTGGAGAGAGAGACAAGGTGAAGGCTTCTGGGATTTTGGAACTTGGGTTATGTTCGATTTTCGTTTTTGTGAAATGGGTTTTGGTTGCATTTTGCATTGGAATTTAAATGTGATAGGATGGATTACTGAGAATTTTTGTTGTCTGAAGAGGAATTAGTTTTTTGGTACCATTTCTTGATCTGCTGGGTATGTGGGTTTTTGCTGAAAATGTGTTTGATGGTCTGGGATTTTTTGCAAAAACCTGTTCTGTCATCTGGATTCTGTTCTACTAGTGTTTCATGATCGAGTTTTTCTCTAATTCTGTGTGATATTTTAGGGTTTGGGTTTGACGAGGCTTCTGTGATTTGGGTTCGACTGGGTTTTGGCGGATGAACGTTCACTGCTTTTGGGTGATTTGTTGTTGTATTAAACTCGGAATTGCTCACTGGGTTCTGAGCAAAATTTGAGTTTGGACAGGTGCCTGGCGAGTTTTGGGTGGATTTCAATAGAAGCTTGAAACGTTTGGCGTTGCTTGTGCAATTCATTGCCTTACGGGAAATTGATTGATATCTATGTTTGGGCCAGAGGTGTTAAGACGAATTCAAAGTTTGGGATAATGATTTTGGTGGATTAGAAACCAATTTCATTTGTTTATAGATTTGGATTTGGTTTTGGTTATAAAATTGAAACAAGTCACTGTCGATTTGGGTTTTGCGTAGCAATTGTGAGAATCATGGTGAAATTTATCAATGAAGATTGCATATTTTGATGACATTTCTAAACTTTCTTTATAAAATTGGATACTGATTAGATGGAGACTACATCACCACCTCCAAATTCTTCACCCTCTGCTATCCCACCAGCATCAACTACTCCTCCACCAGACCCTCCAACTCAACCATCTTCTCTGCCCAATGCAACTTCTCCCACTTCAACTCCTCCTAATCCTTCCCCACCACCTCAATCCCCTCCTCCTACCAATGCAATATCTCCTCCTCCTACCAATGCAACATCTCCTCCTCCAGCCTCACTATCACCTCCACCACGACAACCCCCAGTGGCTTTACAACCTCCTTCCACAACATCGCCGCCGCCTCAATCTACTTCGCCTCCTACTCAAACTACTTTGCCTCCTCCCATCACTGACCTACCTCCATCCTCTAATTCTCCACCGCCAAATCCACCTGCAAGTTCTCTCCCACCTCCATCATCAACTCCACCAATAACTTCACCTCTGCCTGCATCTGATCCTCCAGCTAATTCGCCACCACCACCTTCATCTAATCCACCTACTAATCCACCATCACCTCCATCGAATCCGCCGTCTAGTTCACCACCTCCTCCAGCGTCGAATCCACCACGTGGGACACCTCCACCAGGGTCGTCTAATCCTCCTGCAAGTTCTCCACCACCTCCTCCTCGACCACCAGAGAGTTCACCTCCACCACCCGCTTTACAGCCTCCTCAAAATTCACCACCCCCAACACCAGCATCTAAGCCACCCCAAAGTTCACCTCCCCCACCAGCATCAAATCCTCCTGAAAGTTCACCTCCTCCACCAGCATCAACACCACCCAATAATTCACCCCCACCTCCTATTCTTACCCCTCCATCTGGTTCTCCACCAGCATCTCCACCCTCCTCAACTTCTCCCCCAAGATCATCTCCACCGCCACCAATAATAAGAGTATCGCCGCCGCCGCCGCCATCTCTTGTGCCCCCACCATCCCTTTATCCTCCTTCACCTTCTCAAATTCCATCAGTTAATCAACCAAACAACAATTCCAGCAGTAATGCACCAGAGAGCTCGAACTCTACAGGTAATGGGGGCATTGGTACTGGAGGCACGGTGGCTATTGGTTTAATTCTAGGTTTCCTTTTGCTTGGTATCATTGGAGCAGCTGCTTGGTGCATGTGGAAGCGAAAGAAAGAGGTTTCTGCATTCAATGGTGGTTATGTCATGCCAACCTCTGTGGGTTCTTCCCCAAAATCAGGTAATTTTCTTAAACAATATTACATGGTGCTGGAAGTAATTTATTTATTTTTTCTCATTTAGGCATGTCATATAGTGGGCAGTTCGTGAATTTAGAGACCATCAATGAGATGGATTGAAAAAGTTGAGTTCAATTCTGAATATACAAAGAGAGATGACATAGTAATCCATGCTCTTGCTCATACTTGTTGACTCTGTATATCAAATATTCTCGTACTTGAGACCTTTGAAGCTAAATCTCTGAAGTCGGTATACGTGTCCAGATTCAGGCTTATTGAAGGTGCAGGCATCAGCAACTCGTATTGGAAGCGGTTCTAGTAGCAATTTTGTATATTCACCAACTGATGCTGGTGGATTTGGCAATTCGAGGTCATGGTTCACTTATGAAGAACTCGTTGCAGCCACAAATGGGTTTTCGGTGCAGAATCTCTTGGGTGAAGGTGGATTTGGTTTTGTGTACAAAGGATGCCTAGCAGATGGGAGAGAGGTAGCGGTAAAGCAGTTAAAAATCGGTGGGGGGCAGGGGGAGCGAGAATTCAAAGCTGAAGTTGATATTATTAGTCGCATACACCATCGCCATTTGGTTTCACTAGTGGGTTACTGCATTTCTGATAATCGCAGGCTACTTGTCTATGACTATGTTCCCAACAACACCCTTTACTTCCACCTTCATGGTAAATGCTAATTTTTAAGACTTGAATAATTGATTTGTGATATAGGTGATCAAAGCTTTATGTCACTCCTGGCCTTTTGTAGGGGAAGGCAGGCCTGCTATGGATTGGGCATTGCGTGTAAAAATTGCCATTGGTGCAGCTCGTGGATTAGCTTATCTCCACGAAGACTGTAATTATCTACTGTCCTCTGTTTTGAAATTTATGATTGTGTAATCCACATTCTGTATATGGAAAGGAAAAGTGCATCATTCTTTTTTTCCTTTTCTCTTTATGTAACAAGCATTGGCTCTGGTCTTTCACATAGGATTCAGGTTCAGTCGTGACCCCAGATCAGTGTGTTGTGCTTGTGATAAAGAAGATGAGAAGATGTTATTCTCCCCATTATGTCAAAAATTACAATAATTGTTTGACATTAAAGTTGCAGGATATTTGTCTTCACTGTTTTTCATTTTTAAATGTCATGATCTGCCTCTTGAGGTTTAAAATTTCATTTTCAGCAATCATCTCTTGGCACAGATATTTTTTGTCCTGAATGAATAATGATTATTAGAGTATTAAACATAATGTTAGCTTGATCAGGAGTAAACTCTTGGCTTAAATTATTGAACTCTTATCATAAAATACAGGGAAAATTGAAAGGATGATAAGGAATTTCTTATGGGAAGGAAGGTAGGAAGGATCCCTTGGAATCTTGGGAGGTGGTGCTAGATTTAAGGCTAAAGGTGGTCTTTTGGTTGGGAATTTGTTGAAAAGAAATGAAACTTTAGCTGGAAAACAGTTGTGGAGATTCCCTATGGAATAATATTCATTGTGGTGTTCCGTTATTAGGAGCAAACATGGTTTACTGGCTAATGTATGGGATGTTAATGGGGTGGAAAGGGGTAATTTTAGAAATCCATGAAAGTTTGTTTTTTAGGGTTATATCTCTTTTCTCAAAAGCTTAAGTTCTTAGTGGGTAATGGATCATAGGGGAGTCTTCTTTTTCTAATCTATTTTCTCGTCTTTATCGAGTCTCTAGGGCTCTTGGTCAAAGGATTGCTTCTCTCATTCGGTCCCTATTCAAATCCTATTTCATGAGATTTTGGTTTCGAGTCTTAATGATAGGGAATAGTCATAGTTCTTGGATCTTCTTTCTTTGCTTAATAGTGTATCATTCACTTAAGATGCTTAAGATGTGGTGGATAGAATATGTTGGATTATTGACTCTAGTGGTGTATTCTCATTTAAATCTTAATTTGAATCTTTAGTTAATGATCCCTCTATTCCCTTGTTTCCTCCATCAAGGGTAGTTTGTGAAGTTAAAACTTTTTTATGGATAATTGCTCATGGTAAGTTTAACGCATATGATATGCTTCAAAGAAGGACACCTATGATTTGTCTTTTACCGCAATGGCATGTTACGTGCAAAAGTAATAGTGAAAGCAGTGATCATTTATTCTTACATTGTCCTGTAGCACTTTCACCATGGAACAAGTGGTTAATTAATGCGGGCATTAATTGGGTGGCACCGAGAACTATGTTATCAACGATTTGCTAGGATGTTATGGGAGGGAGTGGAATAGAAGATGGAGAACCCTTTGGGCGTTGGTTGGAAAGAAAAACAAGAATGCATGAGGATAAGAGTGAGGATGAAGTTCTTTGGGAGTGGATTTATTTTTTGGCTTCCTTTTGAACTTTCACGACTAAGGAGTTTGAGAATGTCCCTCGTTTTTGTATTTCATCGAGCCGGATAGCAGTTTTTTGTTTCTTTTTCTGATATATTTCAGTTTATGTTTTTACTGTTCAACTTCTCTTTTGTTGGAACAACTTGCCCACTTTTGACATGCCTTTTGTAACTTTCCCTTTCCCTCTATGATTAATAGTATTATCCTTTCCTGTTAAAGAAAATAATAGCCACCAGAAGTTTCTGAAGCAGCAAATTTCCTGCACTGGAAGTTTTGAATGTTTTTTAATGTCGAAGATCTTCCTTTAATTAATGTTCTCCTTGTCATTCGTGCATGTTTGTGTGGCAGGCCATCCTCGTATCATCCATAGAGATATTAAGTCATCAAATATTCTTTTAGACAACAACTTTGAAGCTCGGGTATAGCTAACTTTCACTACATAATACTTGTTGTAATGTTGTCTTCTGCAACATGGTTTTACAGTTTTATTTCCTACTTTACAGGTTTCTGATTTTGGGCTTGCTAAATTAGCTCTGGATGCAAATTCCCATGTGACAACCCGTGTTATAGGAACCTTTGGGTAGGCAGTCCATTTATGCCTTGTCTTGATGACCACGAATAATACGTATCACTATGCAGACAGCATGCATTGACCATGTTTTCTGTGAATTGTAATTGGTCAATTTCAGATACATGGCTCCTGAATATGCATCAAGTGGTAAGTTGACTGAGAAATCTGACGTGTATTCATTTGGTGTTGTGCTTCTGGAGCTGATTACTGGACGCAAGCCTGTGGATGCATCTCAACCCTTGGGAGAAGAGAGTCTAGTTGAGTGGGTAAGTTATCTCGATGTGAGGCTTGCAATGAGTTTTCTTTTAGTACTCTGAACCTTAACCCAATGCTTTGGGTAGCTACCTCTATATGTGGATATGCATGAGCAGTGATTGATTTTTCCCTGATCTATTTAGCTTGTCCTTTTACTTTTGCAAGATCATGGTAACAGGCATGCTATTGATCCCATAATAGTCTTGTTCTATAGGGTTGGCATTTTCTTTTTATTTGAATCACAAATTAGGTAATGGAAATCCTGAGAATGGTCACCCTTTTGCTTATAAAATGGAATACAGTAGGGCAGATATAGAAGGCACCCACTTGATTCAGAATAAAAATTTCTTTCTGATGAACTTTTGAATAGATCGGAAACTAAATTCTTGAAATCTGGAAACCCATAATCTTGGGAAGAATATATCAAATAAGGGCTACAAAAGTAATGAAAAGAATAAAGGATCTCTTTTGCACAAGGATGAACCCTTGTTTGTTGCCCATGGTCTTCTTTCCACCAGATGAAAGTCATGTACCCACACATTCTAACTTCCTAAAAATCCTGAAGAACCTCCGAATGGAAAAAATGACGATATGTCATTGAAGCAAATGCACTTTTGAGGAACTCTGATATCTCTCTTATGCTATGAAGCACTGATACTTCATCAAGGCTAAAAAACACTTTTCAATTTCGGATACATTGGGGATACGCGTGTGATACATTTAAGAAGCAGGGATATGCAACTGATACATTTAGGATACGTTATGATACTTCGTGGCTAAATATGTCAGTTCTTATTTTTTTAAATACGTTATTGAAGTAAAAAGAATAAGTATTAAAAATAAATTTTTTTTGAAACAACTATATGGAATATTTTGAGCACAAAATGGTTAAACCGTATGTTCTTTATTGGGCAATGCTCCCTTGTAGAACTTATTATTACTCTCACATTTAGAATTTGACCCATCTAAAAACAAAAGCAAGAGACCGATTTGAACATCTTGTTGCAATGTATTTTTATATTTCTGATTTTAGATGAATTGTCTATTGAAGTACCCAAATAATGAAATTTACATTTATACTATTTATTCTATTGCAATATACGGGAAGTTTGTTTACTTGAATGTTAATGCATTTTCTACAATGTATCTGTGAGTAATCACTATTTGATCTTGTCACATAGTAAAATATATAAAAGAGTAATTTTTATTCATGTATCCTGCCTCTGTGTATCCCTTTTTTTTTTTTTTTGTGTATCGACATCTTGGTATCGTATTGTATCTGCATCCATATCCATGCCTCCTAGCTCTTGTGCAAAGTCATTTGATATGGCTTATCTTCACTTGATGATGGCTCAAAGTGTATATAGGAAGAGTTTCTGCACCTCTTCCTGCACCTTTAGAGACATCCTGGCTACAGAGGAGACATTTCATCCCTGCTTATCTAATTTTTCTGGCCCCATTCAAAAATACTTTAATATCTAGTAAAGGATCATTATATTCAGAATCCTCTCTTCTCCCCCCCCCCCCCGGNCTGATGAACTTTTGAATAGATCGGAAACTAAATTCTTGAAATCTGGAAACCCATAATCTTGGGAAGAATATATCAAATAAGGGCTACAAAAGTAATGAAAAGAATAAAGGATCTCTTTTGCACAAGGATGAACCCTTGTTTGTTGCCCATGGTCTTCTTTCCACCAGATGAAAGTCATGTACCCACACATTCTAACTTCCTAAAAATCCTGAAGAACCTCCGAATGGAAAAAATGACGATATGTCATTGAAGCAAATGCACTTTTGAGGAACTCTGATATCTCTCTTATGCTATGAAGCACTGATACTTCATCAAGGCTAAAAAACACTTTTCAATTTCGGATACATTGGGGATACGCGTGTGATACATTTAAGAAGCAGGGATATGCAACTGATACATTTAGGATACGTTATGATACTTCGTGGCTAAATATGTCAGTTCTTATTTTTTTAAATACGTTATTGAAGTAAAAAGAATAAGTATTAAAAATAAATTTTTTTTGAAACAACTATATGGAATATTTTGAGCACAAAATGGTTAAACCGTATGTTCTTTATTGGGCAATGCTCCCTTGTAGAACTTATTATTACTCTCACATTTAGAATTTGACCCATCTAAAAACAAAAGCAAGAGACCGATTTGAACATCTTGTTGCAATGTATTTTTATATTTCTGATTTTAGATGAATTGTCTATTGAAGTACCCAAATAATGAAATTTACATTTATACTATTTATTCTATTGCAATATACGGGAAGTTTGTTTACTTGAATGTTAATGCATTTTCTACAATGTATCTGTGAGTAATCACTATTTGATCTTGTCACATAGTAAAATATATAAAAGAGTAATTTTTATTCATGTATCCTGCCTCTGTGTATCCCTTTTTTTTTTTTTTTGTGTATCGACATCTTGGTATCGTATTGTATCTGCATCCATATCCATGCCTCCTAGCTCTTGTGCAAAGTCATTTGATATGGCTTATCTTCACTTGATGATGGCTCAAAGTGTATATAGGAAGAGTTTCTGCACCTCTTCCTGCACCTTTAGAGACATCCTGGCTACAGAGGAGACATTTCATCCCTGCTTATCTAATTTTTCTGGCCCCATTCAAAAATACTTTAATATCTAGTAAAGGATCATTATATTCAGAATCCTCTCTTCTCCCCCCCCCCCCGGGTGCGGCACCCCATAGGGCCATGCTGATCTCTAATCAGGGGCTTCTTGATTTTCAATATAGAATACCTCTACTGGGTCAAACGAAGCACCCTTGTTAGCCCTTATGCACCAAGGCTTGATCCCACTGAAGTGATTGTGTCTTTTATCAGCTACCTTTTTTGGACTAAAATGTGGACCTCTTTCTTTAAACTTTATACATTTTCAGTAAAATGTGGGCATTCTTTTTGAATTTGTGGTCTGACGGGCTACAAGATGTAAAGCCCAAACCTGTAACGTGATCAAAGCATCAGTAAAATTTTCAATGTCTGCTCTTTCCTGAAGATTATTATTATTTCTTTCAGGGTCGACCTTTGCTTAGTCATGCACTTGATACTGAGGAATTTGAGGGGTTGGCAGATCCAAGGCTTGAACAAAACTATGTTTACACGGAAATGTTTCGATTGACTGAGGTTGCTGCAGCTTGTGTGCGACATTCATCTGCAAAGAGACCACGGATGGGACAGGTAACTATTTTTCAGACTTGCAACTAATTGAAAATTTTCCCTACAATACTTCTTAGGATATGAATGTGGTGAGAGTTCTTACTCTTAACATGCTTATGCTTCTCAGGTTGTGAGAGCTTTTGACAGTATGGCCACCGCAGATCTAACAAACGGAATGAGAGTTGGAGAAAGTGAAATAGTAAATTCTGCACAACAATCTGAAGAAATTAGATTGTTTCGGAGGATGGCATTTGGAATTCAAGATTACAGTACAGATTTTTTTACTCAAAGTAGCTGATGAGTAGTTAAGTGTGGCCCTGATAATCCTTGATGAGAGACATAATCGGGTTAGGAATTCGGAGGGTTTGCCAAGCAAAAGCTGAATTGCTGTGGATGTAAATGCTGAGGCAATTCAACTGTGAGAGGTAATGATTTTTCATTGCCTCCAATATCATAGAGACTAAATTTTCAAACCCTTCATTGGATTTTTGTAGATAGGTTCAGTTTCAGCATTTCCATGTGTTATTCTTTGCTGCAATTTTTATATCCATGTAAGTAAACAGATATCCTTTTAGTTTTAAGTAGTATTTTTTTAATAAAAGGTCATTCTCAATTTTATTCTTCTTATTATTGTTATTATCAAATACTTGTGATATATTATCGAACATTTTGTGTGGTCGATCTTTTTGTGTCTTTCTCTAATGGCTTGCGGAATATATATTGTCTTCAATATTTTTATCTTTTATTTTCTTCCTTGACAGATGACTTACTATATGTTAGCGAGTGAGTCATTTATATACAATGAGTTCCACTTGAATTCACAATAAATAATCTATCGAGAAGAAAATTTTGCTAGAGGGGTTTTACTACTATACCCCATATGTATTGTAGGGGCACCTTATTGGGAGGCAAGTTGCCATTAAAGTAACTCTTTCTAGTTGGTTGATCTTGTGGTGCACACAACAACAAATGGACTTTTCGCAACTTGCTTAAAATAAACTTACACTCAAGTAATTAAATTTCGTTTTAAAACATTCAAAATGTTTTTATTTCCATGAAATCAAAACAAATCATTGATTGATTATCAAAATCTTATGTTTCGGTAGGTTTCGAAGTATTTTGGCATATTTCGGACTTATGTTTCAATTAATGTATCGAAAATAAATTTTTAATTATTTTTTTGTTTTTATCTTGTTTTCGAAATGTATATTAAATATTATCGAAGCGTTTTTATTTTCCAGTTCATCGAAATTATGTAATGAAACGAAATTTTGATCATTGATTACACCGTCTTATATAGTTTTTTCTCCTCCTCTCCACTTGTTGAACCATAGTCCATTCATTTTGTTCATATTTTGTTGGTTAAGGGAGAGTCCTTATCATACGTAGTTCGGATTCACATATGTAAAACAAACTTTAAATAAACTCAATCACCCACTAATCAAGATTAAAACTTAAATTTTAGATAGCTTGTAAAAAAAATTTAAACTCCGAAAGTATAAGATTAGGTCAGATTTCTATACAATAACTAAACCAATCCTCGTGGGTTTTGTTCGCATCATGCCAAGAAAATGTCAAATTCAAGTACTATCTGTGAGATAAAAACTCTTGTTCGCATCATGCCAAGAAAAGTTCAAATACAACTACCATTCCTAAGATATATTGAAAGTTATTATTTTTAATAGTTAAGTTTCACCTTTAAAAAGAGAAGTTTCAATTAGTTGAGAAAATTTTATAATTGATCGTAGGATTCTCTTAAACAGTTGTAACTTAATTATTAAAAGTTGTAACTTTACTTTTGAAAATTATAATTTTTAAAATCGATTGCAATGTTCTAAGATCAATTATGTTATTTAAACCATTTTTAATGGAAACCTAAACCCTTATCCAAATTTGAATAAAAAAAAAAAGGTAAACAACTTGGTTTAGTATAGATCTCTTCAATGAGAAACCCAAACTTAAAGGAAGAGAAATTTTTTTTTAAATGAGAACAATCTCAAATTTGAAAGAGGGTAAATATGGTTATCCGATCTTTAAAGGAGTGTGTAATCACACTATTGGTAAAAAGGGTAAGTATTTTAGTCTCCCTTAATTTGGATTTAAAAAATAATTTCTCTTCATTTAGTATGAATATGGGTCTAACATATAAAAAGATTTTTTGGAATTTTTACCCTTTTTTAAAATAAGGTAAATGTTGGATATGCTGATCATCTCCAACCATGACTCAAATTTTTATTCAATTTAAATTAACATTTGACTGAAAAACTTGATTTGATATAAAAGACTCCAATGGATAAACTCAAATTTAAAGAATGAGGGTAAACTTAAATTTAAAAGGGAGTAAAGATGACTATTAGATTTTTAAAAGATGATAAAATCTCACCATTAAAGATTTGAATTAATATTTGAGTAAAAAAATGAGCTTTTCTTGATTTGATATAAATTTAAGTCAAATGTTAGAGCAAGTTTTTTAAACTTTTTTACTCTAATTTAAATTTGAGTCTAAATTTAAGTAAGTGTTGAAGATGCCCAAGTAGTAACTTGTATCTCAAAAATTAAAACTCAATTTTTAAAAATAATTTTTAGTATAATAAAAATCCTTCGTATCGTGGTGTTTCTGACTAAGAATAGGTCAAATGGACAATAGGATTTAGATACTCTTTATTATTGTTTTATACAACTTCATTCAATGATAAAATTATTCATCATCATGTATTCTTGAAATTGTGTAAAAAAACTAATGGGAAGGGACAACAACATGCCATAACCCAAACACAGGAGACAAAAGAAGCCTTAAAATTTTCCAAACCATATCCTTCTTAGAACACGGTTTCAGTTTTGATTATTCAAACAAGCACAACCCCACATCTTCAATACCAACCAAGCTATTCTAACCCCAAGAAAAAAATCTCTCTCTCTCTCTCCTCCATGACCATGATGGCTAAAAAACAATCCGACCAGTTAAACCAGCTCAAAGACATCTTCCTCCGTTTTGATATGAACAGAGATGGAAGCCTAACCCAACTCGAGCTCGCGGCTCTTCTAAGATCTCTTGGCCTCAAGCCCTCTGGTGATCAAATCCATGTTCTATTGGCAAACATGGACTCTGATGGCAATGGCCTAATAGAATTCGATGAATTGGTTGATGCCATTTTGCCTGACATGAACGAGGAGGTACTCATCAACCAAGAACAACTCATGGAGGTTTTTCGATCGTTCGATCGCGATGGCAATGGTTCTATCACAGCAGCCGAGCTCGCCGGCCAAATGGCCAAGATGGGTCACCCTTTAACGTACCGTGAGCTATCGGAGATGATGCGTGAAGCAGACACAAATGGCGATGGTGTCATAAGTTTCGATGAGTTTGCGAATGTGTTGGGAAAATCTGCAGCAGATTTTCTTGGCCTCACCGTTGGGTAGACGATGGTTTTACATTCGTTCGTGTTTACCACGATGATCATTCTCATCCATGTTGGCATTATTAACACCATTGTTTTCCTGTTTATGGATGAATTGACTTGACCTTATCGATCTTTTCTTTTATTTTTATTTTTATTTTCTTTTTTATATTAGGTTTTGTGAGTTTTGTCAGAGGAGGAGTTGTGTACAAATAGTAGTGGCCTTAGCAGCAACAATAACGATTAAGATAGCCATTGAATCGGGTTGCACAAGGGGATTCGAAGGTAAGTAAATTCACCGATCAGATTAACAGTTTAGTAAAGGGATTAGAGGTCGTAGAGAAGGAAATGCGTTTGGCAAATGACTTAGCTAAAAACGCGAAGAATTGCATGAATCCGAGCTTATGGAGAGATGGGTGTCCCTATTTTGTAATATCTTTGATTCAACATGATGTACTTCGTTTATGATCAATAAAAATAATCGTTTCGATAAAAAAAAAAACAAAAAGAAGAAGAAAATATGATGGGCTATTTATGTTAATGTATGTATAGGTATAAGATTGAAGGAAAGGAAAGGGACAAGATGACAATGTGACATCTCAACTACTTTCATTTGGAGAAATGTTTATGAATTCAACTTGTATTCTTTAACTTTTTTCTGGCCTTGGTAGTTGGCATATATTATCAATATATGAATATGACTTTTCACCTTCTACTAATGGGACATTATGGGCATTAAAAGGGAGTTTTGACATAGTTTGATGGCTTCTTCTTCTTGAAATCGAACGGTCATTTTAAATGTTGATGAAAGTTAGATTGATTGATTTCTTCATATTTTCTATTAATTTTTGGGTTTTACAAAGTCAAACGTTTAAATTAAGTGATCGTATAAACCATTACCTAATCTCTTGAGTATCAATATTGGTACTTGTAGCTATCTGGTGTCGATTTATTCTTAAATATGGGTTCTATCTATTCTTATATCTTCCACAATAAACCATTTTTCTGCCTTAAGTATTAAAAAAAAAAAAGAACTGGGGGTGAATTTCTTGACCTCCTGCGACAAGAAAAAAGTCCATTGTACCATGGTAATGTTACGGCAATCATGAACACCCACCTTATTTCAAACTCCATCAAATATGGTATACATGGAATACGATAACAAAGTTTACTGACTAATCCTGCTCAAAGAGATTAGATTGGATAGGCTAGTCCAATTTCATCCAATCTAATAGTCGAAACAACCACAATTTATGTAGGTAAGAGATCAATGTCAAATGCTGGCTAGAAGCTTATCATGATTAAAAATATGATTCTCCTAGGTGGACACAGTTGAATGAGTACATACCGTTTTAAGGTTTTTAAGGAAAAATCACCTCTATATAAAGAAAAAGAAGTGTTTTTTTGGACAGATAGAAATCTTATTCATAAGGCATTGGATAGGCATCAGAGCCAACAAAAAGCGACAAGCACCTGCCAAGGTGAGTGAGCTATTTTCATTTTTAGGGCTCGTGAACTATTACTGAAGATTCCATAGCAGAGTTCTTTGACATTTCCATCTTTGTAGAGAAAAAAAATTCATTTATTGAAGTACATATGTATGCATTGCACCAAGCATCATCATTGCTTTATTGTTCACAAAAAACTAACTGTACACAATATGAGTACAGAAAATATGAAAATGGATATAGGATCATACAGGGAACCCTAATCTCTTACAAATAACCGCATTACAACAAAATTCTACCACTTCTGTAAGCTGTAAATCTCCCCAATTGCACAAGATACATAATGAAAGAATAAAAATGTAGCCTAGTATTGCTAACAACCAAAATTTACAAGCTTTTGGGGTCTTTTTCTGCCATAGTTCTGCTAATGTACAGACGTTATAGACTAGTAACCGATGGGGTAAAATTATTAGTAGAAGCATCCCCATAATGTAAAGATGTACAATGGGCAGAGTTTCCGTTTACAGAAGTGTCGTGGGTGCAGAGTCTTCAGTGGCTGAAAGCATGCACCTGATAACATTATCTATGATTCCTACCTTCCAAGGGATTCGTTCTTGCAAGTGAACGTGCTGTAAAACCCACAGTAGTTGGCCTTATTGATCTCTGACGCACCATATTGCAGTATTCAAGATCATCTGACTGTCCCTCACGCCTTATCCACTGTATCATGGAATGGTACATTGGAAAGAACTGTACCTGAATTGCATTGTATACGAAGTAAGGGATCAATGCGGAGATCACCACGAAGAGTGTTACTACCCAGAAGGAGGGTGCTGGGGCAAGGGCTTCGACTAAGACTTGGTAAGCAGTGGTAGAAAACGATGGAGAAAGGGCTCCATATACAAAGAGGAAAAGATACCATAGACCAACTCCACCCCAGATGACGATATGTTGGATGAAGGTGAAATAACTAATAGCAAGGGCCATCTGGCAGTTCACAACCCAAACAACACATGTATACATTGTTGTCCCCACGATTTCATATCCAGCAGTTTTTCCATCCTTGTTGAAGGCCTGGGGATCTAGTGCTGTTGTGCAGAGGTAAAAGATAATGACGGCACTGCAAAGCCCATTGAACATCCAGCCAAGTATTCGACGCCAGCTGAAGAGGAGATTTTGAACACCCTCTTGGTACAGTAAAGGGAACTGCCAAGTGAAATGGAAAATGGAATGAGGAACAAGTAAAACAAGCCTTTACTCGATTGTGCAAACATGATAGAAATATCTTTCAGGACACTGTAACAGTTGTAAAGACCCTAGTAAAAGTTATGTTGTTCCTCAAAAAGTAATTCAACGGCCAACAATACCATTAAGGCCAACAGAGAGGTTTGTTATGAATGTAATATAGAGTTTACTTTTATGTAACAGGATAATCTTGAGGATAACAAACATCATATCTTGACATGGCCTGAATTTGAACAAAGATTGGGGTGAAAAAGGCATACCTTTAGACAAAATCGTGAAGATACGTCCTGGTCAAAAACCCCTAAGGCAATCACCGGAAGAGATGTGAAGAAGACATTGTACAGGGACAAAAACCAATCATTGTACGCAGGTTGCCCAGAGAATGACGTATGCGCCTCATATAAGAACACTGTGATGCCAAATGTGACATTCTTGTAGAAGAAGTAGCATATCTGCCAATAAAAGAAGGAATTAGCAATTGACAACGATATGAAGTTTCAAAGAATTGATCAAAAAATGTACATAAGTCAGTTATTTTTGAATTTCCTTTTGTTATGAAAATCCTTACCATTGATGAGATCCTTCTGTAACACCAATGTCCATGCACCAAAAGCAACCGCTCTAAAAATCGGAACTGAGCAATTGCAATATCACTTGACATGACAGCCTGATATCCATAATCAAGAGTTTAGAAGATGTAAGGTAAACCAAAACCAACATAAGAATATTTAAATGATCAGAGAATGCTATGGGTTGAGCACCTGCATTCCTTCAACACCACTGATTCCGATCCCAATATCAGCTTCTTGAAGCATTCCCACATCATTGGCTCCATCACCAATTGCTAATGTTGTCTTCCCAGTCCCAGATTTAACAAGTCTGGTAACCTGCATTTCAGTTAGCGGTAATGTGAACTTACTATTACCTAAAGCAGAGAAATTAACAAAGTTTTGAAGATGAAGAATCCACTAAATGCAGAAAGAGAGGTAATTAGGGGAGGAAGGGGGCAGTCAAAACTCACCAGTGCCTTCTGCTTCGGTGATGAACGGCAGCAAATTACAGACGCACAGCCAATTGCAAGTTCTAGAAGATAATTTTTCATGTCATCTTTCAGAGCATATTCAAGCGATTTCCCATCGATTATGAGAGCAAATGCTTCAGACCTTGATGCAGTAAGCTCAGCCTTCCCTTCCCTTATCTGCTGGAAGACGCTTTCCCTTGAAGCCTAGAAAACCAGATTAACAAATATTCGATCATTATCACCCACAGTGTATATGGGTCGATATTGGACAGATACATGACTTCTCCAGAAACAAGTTGGCCCATTTCTGGCATCAACATGAGTAACAAAATGATGGTCAGACATGCAGAATTACCTTGGCAATAGCATCCTTTTCTCCCCCTTTTTCCAGGGCTTTAATTTCTGGTGTCTCCAAGTTTATTATTATCTGCTTCATTCCTTGTCTAAGCAAACTACAAGAAAAGCTGCAGAAAGAATGTGAAGTGTGAGCCATAATTGTTCAGGCACCTCATAAAAGTTAAATCCAAACTTCAAACTCAGAAATCATACCCAATGTTAATGGCGGTCTCCATCTTATCTCCAGTCAAAACCCATAATTTTATACCTGCCTGGGCGAGTTTGTCAATGCACTCGGGCACCTGGCGTGAAAAAAACAAAAAATCATATCCAATTCCCCCTTACAAACTCTAAGAAAAAGGTTTATGAATTGGTGACCCTTCTGAAAAAAACTTTCCAACTCACCCCTTGTTGGAGTTTGTCCTCAACCGCTGTTGAACCAAGAAGAATCAAATCCTTCTCAATCTCGTCAGCCGCTTCATCCATCAATGTCTCCCTATCTGCACTGACTGAGTTCTTGGCCTCTGCGAATTTCTCATTAAACTCTTTGTATTCTTCCTCATTGAGATCACGATAAGCAAGTATTAGGGTCCTCAAACCAGCATCAGCATACTCATTCACATGTTCCCTGGTTTCCTCTTCAAATTTCATTCCTTTTTTTACAAGCTTTTGAAACATGACACTGCAGAAAATCAAAAACATTTGTTTGAGGAGGGACATGGTGGTTCAGAAAACTAATGGAAGCAGAAGGAAATAACCACTGATGTATATGAGGTTGAGCTGTTAAGGGTAACAGAAGCTGCAAATTTACCAACCTGTCAGCACCTTTAGAGAGTAATAATAGCTTCCCCTCCTCATCTCTCACTATCACAGACATTCTCTTTCTTGTGCTGTTAAACTCTAAAACATTCAAAAGTTTGTATACCCTGCAAGAAAAGGAAGGATTATTTGACACTATTAAACTCAGATTCTTCATATATTTCACCATAGAAATCCATCCAAATCAATAGCACACATGCATGCATGTAAATTGTGTATGTAATGCACCCTGTTCACCATTAAGGCATCGTCAACATCTTTTAACATCTAGTAGGCCCACCCCTTTGGGAATTCCATGTAAATTGTAACATTGAAATGGTGGTGGCAGGGTATTTTATAATTTGCTTCAACTGAAGCTCGAGTTCTTTAGATACAGGCTTACGAAAAAGGACCCTAAGCCTCTGTTGAATGCAAACTAGTAGACTGGTCTGTTCAGACAATTTCGCACATAGGCAAGTAGCAGTCAATTTGTAACTATAGCTTTCTTTTATAAAATAAGGATGAACCGAACATTCAGTGTGGGAATATAGTTATAGATACTGACCTTTCAACTTTTTTGCCTGAAACAGGATCCAACTCATTCACCGAGACACTAGTTTGTGTCCTCTTGAAGAATTCAAAGCCAATTTCTCTTGCTGCAATCACAAAAGCTGCCTCGTCTGGTGACTCAGCTTCATATGACACATTCCCTGTATCTTCATCAACTTCAGGTATGGCTGTATGACAGATTGCCAATAAACGAAAGAATTTCTGTATGACATCAGAATGTGGCTCCCTAACCCAATTCCCTTTCATAATTCTTTCATCCTTAAAATTGAAGCCTTTGATAAGTGATTTTGTATTACTCTCAGCAGATTCCTCAACAATGTCCCTACCATTTACGATTGGAGATCCATTTCGTTTCGCCATAGCCTTCTCAACTTCCGTGACACCGCGGCCATAAGCTGTCCCGGCAACAGAACACTTAATGAATTCCATGGAATTGCAAGTCAATGTGCCGGTCTTGTCCGAAAGTATTGTGCCAACTTGGCCAAGTTCCTCATTTAAATTTGAGGTGCGGGCATGCGCTGGTTTGTCAGTTTCCTCATAGTACATATGAATATCTTGGTTGATGAAAGTGCTCTGAAGAACTTTGACAATTTCTATTGACACATACAAGGAGATTGGGATCAGATAACTATATAACAGCAGGGCCGTCAGGAAGTGATAAATTGCAGCAATTGGGGCTTTTTTGGGATCAAAGAAAATTTTAGCCTTATCTGGTCTTAAATACCACCTTTTCATCCTATCACCATCTAGGTCATCTGCAGTCACAATCCCAAAGTAGACTGATCCGATCAAAGCTATCATAAACAAGACGCCAAATAAGAAGTAGATAATTTTATCCATTTTCTTCTCAACTTTGCTTCTCTTTGAAGGGGGATCAGTGGAGTTCTGAATAACCTTTGTGTCATGACCGGTAAATATAACAGCCCCATATATGTAGTCTGTATTCCGGAGTTTAGAATCTCTAAGGAGAAGCTGTTGAGGAGAAAGAGGATGCTGTTTTTCTTCAAACTCCATACTTCCAACAAATGAATACAAATTTGCATTTGGATCTTCGCATTTAACAACAGCCTTAAAATCTCGGAAGTTAGAGTCCTCATTTGAAAATGAAGTTGCTTCCAATCCCTGCTTTAGTTTCAAATTTGTTTCCCCATCAAGGTTCATGGTCTCAACATAGCAAATTCCATCCCCATAGCTGGAAGAAAGCAAGAGAAGGTCTGCTGGAAAGAATGCATCCTTCTCCACCTTCACTATGTCACCCACTTTCAGATGCCTCCATTCAGAGTTGGCAAAAACTCCACTACCACGGTGTACTTTAACCTTTCTATTGTTCACCTCGATATCCTGCAAAATTTTTCCACACGACAAATCATGGGGCTGAATGAAAGAACAAACAGACATATAGTACTAGCATTTTTCTGTAAACACAGAAAGTTTACTTAACAAAACTATTAGAGCAAGTATTGTTATAATTCCCAAGCCTGAAAAATAGAAAGTTCTGGCAGATTCTAATCGCAAATCAGTATTGTGTATTGCAACGCTTTAGAATAATTTCATCCTTATGGATAGTAGCATCCTATACAACTCAAATGATCACAAGCTATTCTTCTTCAAGTTACACTGCCAAAATTTAAACAAAAACCATATTCTAGGCTGATTAAAATGCCATGTCCGCAATAAAAAAAAAACCAAACTTCCCCTACTTCATATGACATGAAGAATTTTTGCAGTGCGGTCCAAAGTCAAATTGCCCTTTAGAACTATCATAGAATAAAATAAGTTTACAACACAAACGTTCCCACAGAAAAGGCAATAAGAATTGACTCAGTGTCACAATATGCATTTCTAGAAATTCATTATGAATTACCCTAACAAAACCTTCATCAGCCTTGCCACAACAATTTCCGTGTCTGTTAATTTGTGGAAACATCTATAAATTACTCAACCAATCCCAAAGTTTATAAATCGGTCAATTAAGGCAAAAAATAAACCTACAACTAACTGAGCCAAGAAGAACTAATCATATGCACAGCAAAGATTGCTCAAAATCTACCTCGTAATATAGAAACCAAGGGGAAATTAAGAACTAGTTTAACCATCAATAAATGAACACAATACCTGCTGTTTTCGCTGCCAATCTTCAATACCCTCTTTCACCATCGTTGCCGTTATAACGAAGATTAGAGGGAGAATAGCACTGACAGCAGAATAAGGAGCAAGTTCTGTGAAGGACAAGATGCCAGTAACAAGGAAGTAAAAATTGGCCACCCTTCTGAACTGCTCAAACAAGGACTTAGGCAAGAATGATGCAATAGTATACTTTGTAGTCCTCACATAATTGCTTGCATAATTAGATGTACTGGCCTCAAAATCTGGTTCATTGCAATAAACCACTCTTGAGAACCCTGGTCCCCCAATCTGTGAATGGTCATCTTTGAAACCTGCTCTCCCACATCTGAATGTGTAGAGCTTGCTGAAATGTAGCTTCTTTTGTCTACCAGTTCTCATTCTGTCTCTTTCACTTGTAATAGCTCAAACAACTAACCCAAATTTGTAATCACAACAACAGAAACAGACCCGCCAAAAACTCCAAGATTTGGCCCTTCCAATGGCAATTTCTCACTGATAAAGCAGTTCCTTTGAGCAAAACGACCCTGGAACAATACCCAGTACCTCAAAGCCCCTAGAAAAACAAAGCTTTTTCACACCCACCAAAGGAATAAATGGATAATCCTTCAGAGAAATAGAACCCAGAAAAGGGTTCAACCCAAAAGCTCTAAAATACAGTAATTATGTTTGAAAACAATATAACCAAGAAAAATTGTTCAGAAAAGAGGTTGAAGAAGAACTTCACCAAATACAGCTTGAAGGAACAGAATCCAAATAGAGAGGCCAAGAGGGATTGACATAAACAGAAAAGAAAAGGCTCACACAGATTCAGACAAACCAGACGTTACCCACAACGCACCAATCCAGCTTGTACAATCTCTCTCAATATCTTAAAGCACCAAAACTATAGAACACAAAAGACCAGACCCAGAAAGTTAAAAACAAAATTCAGCTAAATACAACTTGTTTAATAACTATGAGGTGAGATATATTTATATATCTACAAGGATGGTCATAAAACAGCGAAGATGAGTGAAGAATTGTTCGGGTATTTGATTTTTCTCGCGGCCCTAAAGCTTTGAACATTGACTTGGATCTCTCTCTCTCTCTCTCTCTCTCTCTCTCTCTCTCTCTCTCTGTTTCTCTCTCATGGTTTGACCTTACAAACATTGAATCGCTACACGCGCATTGGCTCAAAGAAAGTTTCAAAATTGAACGACTACTAAATAAAACAAACCCAGAAACGCGATAATACACGACATACTGTAATTATGGTGATATACAATTTTAACATATAATATGAATATGAACGAGAAACACGAAAATTCAAAGGCAAAAAAGTTTCAAGAAAATAATTTGAAAGCGAAGGTAATTGAATGATGGGTTTGTTTCAGTTACAATGATGTCGCGGGAAACTTTCAGGAATGTAACAATGGCGTGTGTGTGATATAAAAATGTTTCTTCTTCCTTGGGGTTCGTCTTTTTTCGAAGCTTCAGAGAAGACCAGACCATAAAAGAACTCTATAAATGTAATAAAAAGGATGATAATTTTAAATACGAAATTAATGGGTTAAACTTGAATAATATTTTACAAGAATTTACAAATAATATGAGGGACTAAAGTGAATAATTGATGTATTAGATTAATATTAAATACGAATAACTTGAATCCGATACCATACATTTACATAAAGGGATCGTTTGGTCGTCGTATTAAAAATTGATGGATTATATAAAATAATTCAGTCTAATACAATACAGTAGGACAAAAGACAAAATTAAATATAGTATTAAAATAATACGTAATTTTATCTAGTGTTTGACAATACACAACATAAACGTTAGATAGTAGTCATTTAATTCAATCAGTTGTTTGGTTAGAAAATTATTTCATCTATTAATATTGAATTAACAAAAATACCATCAATCAATGTTTGTTACATTGATGACAACTTGATTTTATCTATTGGAGGGTTATATTAGTAATTGTGTAGAATAATACGTTTGAATTGGATTATAATACCGTATCTCTTAGTGGTATTAAAATATTTTCATAATATATGTTTATCGTATAAAAAATATACGATAAATAAACGATTAGTATACGTTTTTGAAATTAATACAGTATTAAATTTACTTACCAAACAAAGTATTAGGTACGATTAAATAAAACATAGTACAATCCAATATTTAATCCTCTCATAATACGATCTACCAAACAAGCCCAAGGTGTTGAGACGTAATTTTTACACTTTGTACATCGAAAGATTATAAGTTTTTTATTTTGTATTCTCAAAAATTAAAATTTTCATATTATACCCTCATTAAAATTAAATTGTTGTAATTTGACCCCCCCCTATTAATTTTTGCTATTTTATTTGTCAAAAGTCAATTTATTGACAATGATAGAAAAACTAACAACGAAAATTTAATAGAAGAGTTGTATTGTAATATTTTTGATACATTAAGAGTGCAAAATATGAAATTTAATTTTTAAACGTACAAAGTGGGAAACTTTGAAATTTTTTCGAGGTACAAAATATAATTCTCTCTTTTACTTATTTGAATTATAATATTGATCTAATTGATTTGGAGTTTACGGAAAAAATAAAATAAATATGAGTGGTGTGTTTGGTCGAGAGATAATGATAATTTATTCTTGAAATTTTTTAATTGATTCTAGGGATTATCCCGCACACAACATCAAACGAAAATTAATTTTTGGTTAACTTAAAATTGAATAATATTTAATACAAATTCAAAATGACACAGTTTGAACATAATCCGAAACAACTCGATTGCTGTTTGATCTAATACAAGAGAAGCTAATAATTTAGATATAAGCAAAAATGTTTTTTTTATATTTTTTTTATGGATGTAAATTAGAAATAATTGATGGGAATTCAGTAATTTGATCAACTAAGACAGAAAATTTATTGAAAAGAAAAAGAAGGATTAAGTTAGGGTAAAAAATTATTAATTCTGATTTTAAAAAAAAAGATTATTAATTGGTTGGAGATTTTTTTTTGATTCACATCTAACCATTTACTCTAGCAAAATAAGGGTCAAATAAAAATTTATAGACACACTCACGCACTCAAAATTATCCGATGTGAGATAGTTCAGTCCCCTCGCGCCCTCGGTGTAATTACCAATTGGTTGGGGGACTTGGGGCGAGTGTTTGAGTAAAGAAGATTAAAAGATGCCTCCACATGGCGTGGAAGCTGCTACGTGTGATGAATAGTCAAACGACTCTTCAAAATTAAAATTCCCAGCAGGACCTCTCCCGCAGCCGCACGCATTGACGTAGATGAATTTCTTTTTTTTTTTTTTAAAAGGGATGTTTGGATTAATTTATAAATATTTTGACTAATTTTTTCTCATGTATGATGATTTATTATATAACCCATCTCTTTTTTATATTGTTTCTTCGAGTTCTTAGAAAATGATTCGATTTGATTCATATAATTTTTATTTTTTATGACTGGTACAATACAAAAATCTTATAATTTTTTTATTTTTTTTTACTATTCTAGCATTGTATGAGTTGTTGAATTTGTGGAGTAAATCATTATAATGAGACATTACAAAAATATAATATATTTGTTTCGGTCTAATAAAAAAAAANTTCAGTAATTTGATCAACTAAGACAGAAAATTTATTGAAAAGAAAAAGAAGGATTAAGTTAGGGTAAAAAATTATTAATTCTGATTTTAAAAAAAAAGATTATTAATTGGTTGGAGATTTTTTTTTGATTCACATCTAACCATTTACTCTAGCAAATAAGGGTCAAATAAAAACTTATAGACACACTCACGCACTCAAAATTATCCGATGTGAGATAGTTCGGTCCCTCGCGTCCTCGGTGTAATTACCAATTGGTTGGGGACTTGGGGTGAGTGTTGGAGTAAAGAAGATTAAAAGATGCCTCCACATGGCGTGGAAGCTGCTACGTGTGATGAATAGTCAAACGACTCTTCAAGATTAAAATTCCCAGCAGGACCTCTCCCGCAGCCGCACGCATTGACGTAGATGAATTTCTTTTTTTTTTTTTTTTAAAGGGATGTTTGGACCAATTTATAAATATTTTGATTAATTTTTTCTCATGTATGATGATTTATTATATAACCCATCTCTTTTTTATATTGTTTCTTCGAGTTCTTAGAAAATGATTCGATTTGATTCATATAATTTTTATTTTTTATGACTGGTACAATACAAAAATCTTATAATTTTTTTATTTTTTTTTACTATTCTAGCATTGTATGAGTTGTTGAATTTGTGGAGTAAATCATTATAATGAGACATTACAAAAATATAATATATTTGTTTCGGTCTAATAAAAAAAAAATAACACTTGAAAGAGAAATTAGATCTATATTTTGTGGATAAAAAAATATAAAATTCGTATTTCCCTATCTCAAAAAACCAAAATTTATTATTGTTATATATATATATATAATATTTTATTAAAAATTAATAGAGCCTCATTTATAAATTTCGCCTTTAAGCCCCGATTCCATTGGGCAGCCCCTGGCCGGAGATAGATCTATTTCATAGAATCTCGATTGAATCCATAATAAAATGTCATTAATAAAAAATAAATAAATTTAAAGTGTATTAGAATAGATCTAAATCCAAATTTCTTGGGTGGTAACAGACTGTTATTTGGGGTGGCGTGGGGTGGGGGGGGGG